GGAAATAGGTTTTAAAATCATTTTGCGTAATCGGCAATGTCCGTTTTTCATTGAATCTATTTTCAGAAAAATTGTTCTTTCGTTGGCGAAGCGCTAATTCTATATACTTTGGAGAATGCTCAAATAACTTCTCTTCCAGCTTAATTACGTGGAACGTAATAAACAGGAAAACGTGTGGCAGAGCTCGGTGATTTTGATTTATTTCCAGAAAAGAAAATTCAACGAGATTTATTCAAAAAGCGTTTGATTCGATTACTTTTGAATTTGTTGAAAAGAAGACATGGAATGAATGCTTCTCGCAATTTTAATTGCAAAAAAAGATTGTAAAAACGAATTATGCTTTTTAAAACATTTTCTAGAAGAGGAACCTACATCCAAATGCATTCGGTATCAATCCCATTAATATTTTTTGAAGAGGGCAATGTTTCCCATTTTTTTGTTATTTCTCGTTTGATGCTAAAAGATTTGAAAGATGAGTAAAATATTAATTTTTCCAAATGATGTTTTTAGAGTTTGTGATCTCAATATCGTATAAGACATTCATCGATTCTAATTCTCGGGAACAAACATTTACATTAAGAATATCATGACAACAAGAATGTGATTGTTCTCAAATCTACCAGTCATCCAAAATCAATGCTAAAATGATTGTATTGACATCCTTGTAAATTGAATCTGTTATCTTCGGCTAATCACTAGTGAGTGATTGATATGTCATTCAATATGGTTGATTTTTTTTTTAAATCTAATTTAAATTTCACAAAGTTCTGCATCTGGCATGGATTGATACGAGTTGTTATTCTTAATTCCAAAATAATAACCTGCCTTTAACTTCTGTAATGGCTCTAAAACTGTGGGATAAACTTCCGTATGAGATAAGAAGTTGTACATCTATGAGTATATTTAAATCTGAATTTAAAACTCGCTTAACCAGTTGAAAAACAGTATTTTGTTTTTAAATAATTTTTGCAAGTAATATCTGCTGCTGTTGTTAGTGTTTTTTCAAGTTGAAGAAATAAATCCTACTGTTCCTACTGCCCCAACTGGGCTAATGAAGACGGACATACGCCATAGAGTATGCTATAGGGGATTCCAACTGTCTTTTATGTGCACGGGATCTCGGTTTTCCGTCCCACCCGAAAGACTATACGTTGTACCTTGCCAGGTCCTACTTCTTGCACCACGGGTTAACCACGCTGGAAAAGTCCGATGAACTTTTACGCTCAGCACCGGGATTGAACATGGGACCGTCAGGTTAGCGAGCCACCACGGCTCCCTCAAGATGATGGAAATTTGGTTTAATCGCCTACTTTTATGTACAGACTGAAGAGCGAAGAATTGATGGAAAAGAACATTGTCACCGCTGGCGTCATTTCTTTTTTTATATGTAAACAATATTTTGTTTATTCAAAAAGAAAATGACGCCAGAACATTATCACCGCTGGAATCATGTTCTTGCGGACATATTGTCATTATGGATGTCTATCTATTATTGTATGTCGTTTAAGTTCCACTCTAGTTTGCCTCGAAGATAGTTGTCGTCATTCTAGTAGAAACCTCGCTGTGTTTAATTAGTAGAACTTGCGTTTTAAAATGTCAACCCCGTGTTCGACTCTTTATAGATTTATTAAAGGGGGCGTGGGCGAATAGAGATTCCGGTAGGGACTTTTTATATCTTCCGAAAGCTGAAGTATGCATGTGAATTAATATTTTACAGCGTCCTACCACTTCAAGCAAAAGTCAGCCCTTTCAATAGTTTTGTTCAAACTGTCTTTAGGTAGAAATTCTTTACATAACTTGTGACAAAGTGCTCTATAACTTCCATCAAATTGAACGATCATTTAGGCGCATAGCAATTATTGACCCCAGCTGGTTTTTGATTGTTAGACACGAACTGACTATAATCTAATTAAACATGTAATTAATCCCATGTGTCATTTACAAACTACATATAATCTGTATACAAGCTCCGCATGACTTCAAAGGAAATACGCACTGGTCAGTTAATCATACAATGACGTCATAAATAGGCAATTCCAGATATGGTCATGACTCTTATCTATTTTCTCTATTGTCGGGCGCTACATAACCAGGAGTTTGCTGACAGTTTGACAGGCGAGCGAGGAGGAGAAGATAGGAGCAGAGACTGGCAAATGGGCTCATCGAGTTCAGTCTCTGCCGAGGCACAAGGGCGAAATCGTTAAATACTATATTAATGTACCGTGTTGATGTTTAATTTATCTTCCTGGAGTAGTTTAGTTCCTGCTGTATTTATGTAGCTGTTTAATAAATTGTTACTGATGTAAATAAATGATATATTTACTAAACTGATATCTGTTATCACTAAAATAGTGCTGCAAACTTTGAAACATTCAAATGGTGACATCTTAGACGAATGGTCTGCTGGTGGGCAAATGTTTTATGGCCTGGCAACTTATTAACTCTTATCTGAAAAAAGCCATGTGTAAATTTCTAAAGCTCTCTTGGTAACCTCAAGTTATTTTATATCCCTTGAATAAATGTCAACGAGGTATGAATATGATCTGATCTTTCTGAAATTTATTGTGTATTTGGGAGTACGTATAATAAATGAACAACCAAATATGATTGATGATGGGGTTTTGTTTTCAGCAAATATCACGAGAAAGCTGTTCAAGTAATAATCTTCATCGAACGTATAATAACCGCATTTTTCATCATATTGGTAACCATCGATCATATTATTGGTATGATGTGAGTCGACATTGCCGTTGGCGGTGTGTGTGGGCCTGTGTGAGAGGGTAACAGATCTCTCGGCTGTAGTAATGACATGCTTTTATCACTTTAGTCTATGAGATTGCCAAGTTTGATTAGTATATCTAATTGATGGGTCCCGTTAGAATCGATAAAATCTACCCGTAATTTATCTATTATTAATAACACTGTGTCTTAACACTATCAATAATACAGTCTTGTAAAATAGAACCTCTTAACAACATAAAGCAGACACGGTAACAAATTAAGTTAACTTCGTTTCACTTTCTGAAATACACGCATCCAAACGGTTATAACGTGGTTAAGATGGTATTTTTCCGTCCCCAGACATTTTTTATTTATGTCAGTTTAATACGCACCCTAAGATCCAAAATAGGCAAGAAAGAAGAAGACGGTTTTTGCTACATACACTGTTTCTTGTCGGGCCTTCCGTCCTGCACTACTGACAAGGGGAAACCGCACTCGATACCTCCCAGCTAGCGAACCAGCGTCTAACTCAAAGGGATTCGAAATAACAATTAGACATAATATAGCAATATTGTAGATAACCAATTGTTATTATTTATGAGAGTAGGGAGACTAGCACACATGTTGAAATTGCAGTATTTGGACACAGCTCGCCAAATATTCCTACGTCTTTGGGCGAATGTAGGGCGAAAGTTATTTTTAGTCTTTCTCTCCCTTTCCCTTTTCCCCCATTTGCATGGCGATTTTTGTTGACTCTTTGGTGGAGGTAGAATCGAAGAAAAGAGTTTGAAAATACATTTTCTGCCAGGTTTTGGCGAATACTCATGATTTTCAGGCGGAAGGATACGAGAGTTGGGGGGTTGGTTAGGGTGGAATGTAGGACGGAAAATGGCATGTGTTTTAGTCTTTACTTCCAGTTTGTGTATCTCCAGTTTTCCATGGTGAACCTCATCGTATGTGCTTTCGAGCAAGAGGTTGCCACATGTTGCTCCATCTGTGGTAGAAAACGTTCTACCCAACGAAAATTTGGGAAAAGGCTAGAGTCTGTCTAAGAGCGTTAACACACGGGCTCTGAATAACTGCCATTGACAATTGTCTTTGGTTGAGAGCAAGATTGTATCCAGTCTCTTGTTGCCCGTAACCGAATTTTGTTTTTGTCCGAAGAGATTAGCTTGATTTCTAACAACGTTTTGTTAGCTTTCGGTGTCAATTATTTCTTTTAACCCTTATACCCTATACGCACACATTCGAATATCCACCAATGACGTAAGCTCGTTTTCCATGTACGCGTTTTCGTTGCGTTTCTTCGCGTGTTACATGGAAACAGTCCCATTATATTTCAATTAGATCTACGTTTTCGCCGACGAAAACGCGCATGGAAAGGCCACGAAAACGCGTACATGGAAAACGGGCCTTAAACATACATTATGCAAGAGCTAAATCTGTCTATTGCAGGTCTTTCGTTGGGCCTGAAATGTTTTCTAAATTATTAATTAGATATTAATTAACCTATCCAGACCATAATCAACTCTAGATGGCATCGCTAGCCTGCCATCTTTAGTGGATTGTGAGCCGATTTACTGCATAACTTTCCTTCACAATTTAACGATTAAGTGGATAATCGAGACTATGCTGTTTATCGTACTAACTTTAGTAATGATGATCGAGGCTATGCGGAAATTTCAATCGCTTTGTTCTCGGTTCATAGTGGATCAATTTGAATGAAATTTTCAGCAAATTGCTTTTACATTATCTAGTTTGTAACTATCATGGTGAGAACTGCCAACTCGTTATCGATTCTCCCATATTAAGCGTTTGTGTTTGAGCGTAACTCCAGACTGCAGCAACCCACGTGAAATTGTGAACATTTTTTAAGAAATAAACTGAGTCTGGTGGGGTACCAGACACGCCCAATATTACTGATTTAACTCTTCAAAACACTGTGTTTTTATGTATTTAACAACAAGAAAAAGAGCTGCCCGCCCCACTTTAATACTAATCTAAGCCATGTTTAAAAACAATTCCGGAAATCCACAGCCACCCGTTAACACCTGGAACTCCAAAATTTCCCTCATAGCACACTGTATGGCGTATGCCCGTTTTCATTAGACCAGTTCGGAGCAGAAAAGTAGGGCGTTAAACCCCATTTTATTTTATTTCATTTTCTTTCTCGTATGCCATAAAATCCTCGGTATTCCCACTGAGATAAAAAAAACCAATACCATTGTGTTGCAGAAACGTTAAACCCAATTCCATTCCAGAAATCACAACTATACATGTCAGTTTAAAAAATTATTTTATGTACATAAAAATGGAGTAGTATGTCCGAGTTAATGCCGGTGGTTATAATAATACAAAAAAAATATAATTAATAAATATAACGTAAACAAGATAAAACGACCAGCGTTTATTTAAACTTTGCCAGGGGCGGATCCAGAGCTTTATCCTTTATCATCAGATGGTTGGATGGGATGGGCATTCAAAGCGCGAGATGATGATATAGTTATGTGTGATATCACAATTAATACTTTGCATCATATAAGCTAAATCACAATGTAATCCTATTAATTTAAAATAAAAATTGACGTCAAACGGGGGTTGGATTTCTTTCTTTAAAAAGCTCAGTGTGTATGTATGCCTACGTAATTTGGAGACGATGTGATAGCATCATGCATTGTCAACTGTCAAATTTCCTTAAAGGGGACCTGGCAAACCCCCTGCTGTAAAAATTCCTGGATCCGCCTCTGTTTGCCCCATAACGAGACCATAGTCTCGAGTGTCACAAGAGTATAGTTGTCTGGAAATAAATATTAAGTTATGAAAAAATGAAATACGTGTATGAACTAAAAACTATAAAATAACAATAAATGGAATAAATATACGGTGGTTATGTTTGGTGGGACTGGGTGTTCGTATATAAAGGAAATAAATCTGGATAATGTTTTCCTTAGCGGGGCTCTATACGGTGGTTATGTTTGATGGGGCTGGATGTTCTTATATAAAGGAAATCCATATGGATAATGTTTTCCTTAGAGGGGCTCATTTTTTTTAAATAGATGGACAATTGGCCATGTCAAAATATTAAATCGTGTTCCTTTACATAAAACTTTACAATACATATATATCTAAAAATGGAATGTTTATAGCCAACCTGTGGGTCACTGTGTAGGTATACAAATTTGTCACAAAGGACAAAGTGTCCAATAGATAAGCTCCCTAAATGTTTGTCCCTTTAGATCGTACCCGTGACCCTGATTTAAACAACTTTCAACAATACTGCTGAGTTTATAGCTTACTCGTATTGCAAGTCATGTAATATATTATATATCATTGATCCATAAGTGATATCTCATCAACCAATAAAATCGATTGGTTAAGTATGTAACCGGAAGTGTGACAGATGACGTAATTGTTTTAATACTTCGGATTACATTAAACAAAACCTTTATGTAGTAAAATTACTTAATTGTCTAAACGTTTTCGTTTTTCGTTATAAAACACGGTAATTTTAATCCACAAATGTTTAGGTTTTTTATTTTTGTCACCAATTACTACAGAGACACGTAAATAACGTTCCTGATTCCAATCATGATGGTAAAGCTGTAGGGCTATTGTTGTCCACAGATTGGGCCACTGTTGTTTTATGAAAACTGTAGAGATTGGAGTTCTTGATGACCTCATCGTAAGATGGCGGTAAATCTATAATAGATATTGCTGTCGTCTCTACAGCTTGCCTTGAACCTTCTCGATTTCCACCTCCTAGAAAACACAACGATGGTTATTTTTACAAGAGTAATGTGAATATAGTAGGATAGATTGCAAGGCAATAAAACATTCGTCAGGAGCAGCTAAGTCGTCCGGCATCTATAAAGGTTGTCGCGCTGTGAATCTTTAAGTAATATTAAAATACTAATATGGCATCATCCTTTGATTTTGGCGTATCATTCATTATTTCAAATAATGGTACGGGCAATGTGCAAAGCGTACATTATTTATACTAGTTGAAATTTTGGACGCGGGTGACGTATCTCATTGCAAAGGACGTGCGAGTGCCTGTATTTTAAGTTATTTAATGGTTTTGAGCTTAAAACATTGCGTAATATATTGAAACAACAGCCCGGGACTGACGTCCCTCGTGCTGTTTCAGTGTATTAGTACTTAATGTCTCGCCATCGACCATTAAACCACACTTAATATACATGTACTGTATAATATCTTTAAATTCAAGGGCCATAACCCTATAAGTAATTATCAGAAATCGTTGTCATTATTATTCATCACACTAATTGAATCGAGGAATATAAATTTAAAGTAGATCGGGTGATCACTTTAACTTTGAAACCATTCACAAAATTAGAGTCAGATCAAGGCCCATAACTCTGAAAATAATTAGTGGAAATTCGATGGAATTTTTTATGTCTGTTCTGAACAATGCACACAATGCACAATAATTAGTGGAAATTCGATGGAATTTTTTATGTCTGTTCTGAACAATGCACACAAATTTCACACAATTGTGTCGCTATAGCGTTCAACAGATTTAACAGGTGAACACGGGCCATAATTCTAGAAGTAATTAACGACAATTATTAAAATTCCATAAACTTCATTAGAGTGTTCACAAAATTCAAGGATAATAACACGCAAATTTGTATCCGAAATCAATACGTTTATTCGTCTCACTAATGTAAATAACATATTATCAATTTTATATCGTGATAAATGTAGCATGTATTGAGGTCGCAAGACATTGTGGACGACAGGCGGGTTACCGACAGACGGACACGGCGGAAGGGTCGAGGACTATATAAACAAAACTTACGTTCTATTTGATTAATGCGTATTTCCGAATTTGAAGTCGGGCTTTGAAAATCCCAGCCTAATTTCTCACTTAATATTCTCTTCCATTTTGTATTACATGGTTTTATTAGGCATATAATAGGACATAAAATGGAGAGTAAAGCTCCGGCACACAGAACTATAGTTATACCCAGCACTTCCGGTGACGGTCTGAAAACAAAATAAAATGGAGAATCAAATTTCTTGAATCCGTATATTTCGAACTGACCTTTAACACGGGGATTTAAATATAAAGACGTATATAAAGGTGTTGCGTATGAATACTAGAATTTGAAAAGAATGGATGCACACAGTTTCTGCCATATTCGTAAAAACGCCACTGCTCAGGCCAATTATCCCCCATAGCACAATGCCCATCGCTATCAGCCGGGTTGATGTCTAACAACAGGTTAAACTCTATTCCATTTCATTTTATTTTGTGTTTTATTTAAAACAAAAACGAAAGTAGTACAGAGATTTAGACCACGTCTTCGAAATATTTGTTTGTTCATTTCCCAGTACGTACACCTAATTACTTCTCATATTGGCCCAGACATCAATAACCTATTAAACACATTCCATTTTGTACGAGGGTCCGGGTATGTTTACTTTTTTAGAGGTGCTACATATGGGTTATAGTTTGTGCGAACAACAATAACGGCTATTAGGCTATTGTCGTGGAATAGTTCACTAGGCAGGACAGTGGTCAAAGGGACACAATCGTGTTTTGCAATGCAAAACTCTAATTTAACTTATTTGCTCCGACTGGGCTAATGAAGACGGACATAGCCTACGCTATGTAGTGTGCTATGAGGGAAATTTTGCCCGGGCAGCGGCACTATGGCCTACTCTTGTAACGAATTCCAACTGCCAAGGGATATTTTACTGCCCGGCAATGTATACACGGGACCTCGGTTTTTCGTCTCATCCGAATGACTATACAGTCCTTGTCAGGCCCTTCGTCCAGCACAACTGACAAGGGGGGAACTACGTCGGAAAATCCCGATGAAGTTTATCGGCCAATGTAGGCGTCGAAAACACGACCTCCAGGCTAGCGAGCCAGCGTCTTACCCACTTAGCCACCGTGGCTCTCAAAAAAGGGTATAAATTACTTACTCAACATCAAGACAGTCTTCTTCAAAATTTTTACATTTTTTTGCTGTAGACTCTGAAAGGAATATATATATGATAAATTAAACAGAATTAAAATGTTTCCTGAATATCCATCTTGAATAGACGAGAGTCACATAACGTACGATATTCTTTACCAAAATAACAATGGTGGCTGTTGTTACTTGGTATTATCATTACCAGCAAAATTACTGGTGGAGTCCACTCAGCACAAACTAGATCGTTTCCGTAGACTAATGTGGTAAATATTACAAAACGAAATCGGTGTTCACGGGAGTCTTTAACAGCGTGGTGGTGGGGGGAAGTGGGGGATCCAGAGAAAGCCCATGAGTGGAGATCGGCGACCCATCTCCCTGTGTTATGTACATCCTTTGGGTCGAAAGCATGCACCTTAACCCATTGACATACCAGCTGGAAAATTCCGAGAAACTATTCTCGGCCAATAATGGGACCGAATCCTGGATCTACGGGTTAGTAGGCTCTTGCCTTACTCAATGAGCCACCGCGGTGCCTTAGGAGGTCACTGAGCCACCGTGGCACTGTAGGGTGTCACTGAGCCATCGTGGCACTGCAGGGTGTCACTGAGCCACCGTTGCACTGTAGGGTGTCACTGAACCACTGTGCCACCTTAGGAAGGATACCTTCTTTCAAATTTCAATATCAAATATTATTTTCAGATCCCATGATTAAATATTGTATCTTTATAATATGTAAATATTAATCGAATAAATAGTGTTATAAAAAATCTATTTGATATAGAGATATGAGTTTAATACATGATGTGTTTGTTTATTTCAATAATTTTCTTACGCGCAGTAGAGCCGTGTTTTGCATATATACAGTCCACATAATCAACAGCGCTCACTAAATCACATTAAGGCGATTATGAATTAGAAGAAAAATCTCCCGTGATGAATTTGATAGGTATTAAAATGTATTTAAAGACAGATTATCGGTCATTGCGCTTTTTTGTTTAAGTTGAAGATAACAAATATTTAGCACAGATGACAATAAACTGAATTATTGATCATAACGACCTATTGTTCAGTGGATATTGATCATAACGACCTATTTGTTCAGTGGTTATTGATCAACGATATGAAATGAAATGACATGAAATAGGGTTTAACGCCCTACTGTTCTGCTTCGAACTGGGCTAATGAAGACGGGCATATGCCAGGAAAATTTTGCCCGGACAGCGGCACTACGGCCTACTCTTATATCGAATTCCAACTCTCAATGGATCTTTTACGTACACGCCAATGTGTACACGGGTCTTCATTTTTCGTCCTATCCGAACGACTAAACAGCTGTCCTTGTCAGCACCCCCCCCCCCTCGCGCCATACATCATGATATTGATCATAACGACCTCTTGCTGAGTGGATATTGATTATTAAGCTATAAATATAAAATAATCATTATGTAATTATTGATTAACATATTAAATCATCGTGTGTTATGTAATCATCTATTATTATAATAGACTATAGCTGTTAATATTGTATAACAGGGTATATAAACAAACAGTAATAGACAATACCATTGTCCTATAAAACACCTGGCCCCGAGTACACAGCTGCGATATCACCTCAGTTGGAGCGGACGTTAAATAAAGCTATTTCACCCGAGTACACAAGTGCGATATTACCGCAGTGGGAGCGGACGTTAAATAAAATTATCTGAGATTTAAGTTAAGAAATTACTCAAAATTTTTCGCCTTATTTTAACCAAAATGTAGCCCTTTATAAAACTTTTGTTGTTTTAATGTATCAAATACATTAATAAGAAACTATGTGCAAAGTTTTGTGTTGCTGGATCAAAGATATTTCTCATAAACAGTGATTGAAAGTTGAGTAAATTATTAACTTAAATCTGAGAATGCTTTGTGAACTCGGATGGGACGAAAAACCGAGGTCCCGTGTACACATTGGCGTGCACTTAAAATATCCCTTGGCAGTTGGAATTCGATATAAGAGTAGGCCGTAGTGCCGCTGTCCGGGCAAAATTTCCCTCATAGCACACTGTATGGCGTATGCCCGTCTTCATTAGCCCAGGTTAGGAGCAGAACAGTAGGACGTTAAACCCCATTTCATTTCATTTCATTTGCTTTGTGTTCTCGGAGCCAGTATTTACATTCTGTACGCAGAGAACTACCTACTTCGGGAATAGATCTCTGACCTGTATTGCCGCCATATTCAAACATTAGTGTTCTGTTTTGTAATGCGGTTCTAATGTCGGTCAACCAGGTTAGTGTCTGTTCTCAAGCGGTGCTAATTGTAGACAGCATACATTATATTATAGGGTTTTGTCTTACATTTTATACGCCCACGTGTATAATGTTGTCGCTCCTGTCCGTTCTTACTTCCGTCCATCCACACTCATTTGTACACATTCTAAAAAGTTTCGTTCGTATACTTCTATCAAATTTGCTGAATAGTCAGTACTGGTGTAAAGATGACCCTAACGCTTTTGAAACGCTTTCAGACAATTAGTTTAAGAGTTATTGCCTCTGACGATAAAAAAAACTTACATGACCATATTCGTACTCACTCTACAAAGTTTAATTCTTGGTCGGTGTTCATCGCATTTTCAGGAATTGTTAGTATGGGGGTAAAGATGTCCCATTTTGTTTTTGTGCGTTATCGAGAAATCAGTTCTAGAGTTATAGCCCCTGATACATATTATTGAAGATAAACGTATGTTGCCGTGTTCGTACACTGGCTTCACACCGTGTAGCCGATTTCGGTTAAATTTCAAGGAGTATTGAGCTAAAGACGGCTTCATTTATTTGGGGAGTTTTCTAAAATAATTGCCTGCGGATGTCTTTTTTTTCTTTTTTTTCTTACATTATTATATTATAAGTGAAATGTGGAAGGCAAATGGAAGGGTCGGGTTTTTTGTTTTCATGCTTCTGGTATATACCCCAAAAGTAAAAACTGTAAGAATGTTTATTCACGTGGCTGAACCGCCAGCATAAATAAATAAAATAATTCATTTAACAGGCGGAAAGAACAGTAAATACAACGCTTTAATGTGGTTTAACGGGAAATATAATTCATAGGCCAAAAAAAATAACATGGCGTGATCTGATATTACTTCCAAATGGAGAGATTTCTTTTTAAAATTAGTCCCAGTTAATCATAATATATTTAGATATCAATGAGAAGATATTTTTAGAGGGGTCTCTCTCTGGACTGGAACACGATCATTCACAGAGGCGTTCGACGATGTGTTTTTCTATCTGTAAGCTACGACAGACATTTGCGTTATTTATAACATAAAAAATATAATAAAAACAAAAAAGGGATAACAAAAACCAAGGTGATTTATCTATATGACGTACGAGTGACATATGATTTGACATTAATATTATAGACATTTCCGATTCAATTAGGAAATACGTATATTTATCATGGATATACAGGGGATTGCCAAAAATACTAAATTTATCTTGTTTTTGTTGGTTTGTATTAAAGCCGATTAAATCATAGGTGACCGATTAGTATGTACAATGTCAATGTCAAATAAAACCAACTCTGTTTTATGCATGTACACATAACCTTCACCGCGCTTTTGGTGGGCGGGGGTACGTCAATGGAAAGAGCCCAGCTCCAGATCCCTAAACATGGTCGCCACCCCTGTTAAAAAACTAATTCTTGATCGCAAGTTAAGCCCATACAACATCAAAATAAATCCATTTTAGCTATATAAGTATAAAGTAGGTAATGTGAGTATATGCTGCATTCGACACCCATCGATATTTGTAGGTTAACCATTTCATTGTTTGCCAAACGAAAACCATGAAAAACGATGTCAAAAGTTTAGGAAGATGTAGCTTCGGATGCTATTCAATAACGTGGTTCCTTTTTGGCTTCCACCTTTGCATTCTTATTACACCAAACTAATTTCGTCCTGGTCACGACGCTTTCGATAGTGATGTCCATCTACACTATTCTGACAGGAATTTGTAATTGTATCTTTGTCCCTAAATCCACTCTTGTTAATACTTACAAAAAGGTGGGTTGGATGACTGAATGGTTAGCGCGTGGGCGCTGAATAATAAGGTCTGTCATTGAGTCAACTGGCGTAGTTTCGATTCCCTCCGTTGTACGTGACAAGGAGTAGGGTCGCCTGTCCAACCTCGTGGGTTTTCCCTGGGTCCCCCGGTTTCCTCCCCCACTGCTAAAGACCCCAACGCGCAAGCGAATTATTGAAATAAAATAGAACCAGTTTGTGTCGAGTGGACGTTAAACTCTCCCTCTCTCTCTCTCTCTCTTTCTCTTTCTCTCTCTGTCTCTCTCTCTCTATCTCTCTCTCACTTGCAAAAACACTACAGACTTATCGGCATTTTGTAATGTACAATCTTTGTCATATAAATAATTCATATTCTTCGGGCACCTGTGTCTTTTCTTAGATAATTAATTAAGTAATGCCCATTATAAAGACTATATTATAACAGGGGCGTCCTTTTTGTTTTTGAAATAAAATTTATCGGTGAGAAATCAGATTAAAATTTTCATAATAAAAATTTCAAAGGATATATAACTGCCTACCTGTAATTAAGCACAGTAGTCCAATGAGTATAACGTACAGGTGAGAGGATAGTTGGAGCTCCATTTCTATACAAACTATTAGCAATAAAATCCAATGTCCCAATCATATATGACACACGATTGACCTTCAGTTCTAATAATCAAATATTATATAAACATTATAGATATCTATATCGCAGTTTCTCTCAAACATTAGCAAGCTGTTATCATTACTTTTATGACATTCGTTACTAAGGACAACAACAACGTCGTCTGCTTCAAGTTCACCTGGAGTTAATGAGCTTAATTAACGATGTTTTATCGTATTTAGATCATCCAGACTCATAGTATTTTATGTTTGATATCCGTATTTCTTTGAATGAATAAACCATCTTTGATGCATTTGTGGTTTACTGACGTAGCGTAGAACAGGAAAGCAAAACGTCACTTTTCTATTCAGTAAAAACAAGGAAGTATACATTTGTGAATTTGATAAAGCTTTTCGCACGAGGGATGGTCTCGTCTTCGTGTTGTAGATTGTTAAGGGTTTTTGTTAAGTGGTTAAAATTTTAAATGGGATCCCCTATAATAGGGTCTTATATGAAAATAAAATGAAGTCTTTGTTTCGATTATCCCGTATCAAAAAGATGAATAAAGGAAGTATGGTGTCAGCAAGTTTACAAAAAATACGTAAAACAATTAATTGTGGGTAACATACATGAAGTGGACAATAACGTGAATAGATCATAATTATTATGTGCATACTTATATTATTTTAGTTTCCTGACGAAGGGAATGCTTTCCTCTTCAAATTGAATAATATTTTATAAAATCATTGTATTCTTATTTAATATATGATTTTTTTGGTTAGCTTCAAAGGTGAACAAACATGATATACTAGAAGGTATGATGGAAATGTCGTATTCGTGTCAGGTCACATGAATGAATTAAGAAATAAATTAAAAGAAATGAATAGGATGTAATGTTTTGTCAAAGATGTACTTTTTAGACTCTCTCTCTCTCTCTCTCTCTCTCCCTCACTGTTCCCTGCCCCCCCCCCCTTTCTCTCTCCCCTGACCAATCCACATCCCAGTGGGGCGAAGTGGATTATAGCGTGTGCGCGCTGTATCATAAGGTCTGTCATTGAGTCAACTTGGGTGGTTTCGCTTCCCAGGTTGTACGTGACAAGGAGGAGGATCACCTGTCCAGCCTCGTGTGTTTTCTCCCGGTCCTCCCACTGCTACAGACCCCTACGTGCAAGCGAATTATTGAAATAAAATTGAACCTAATGTTAGTCCCGAAATGACCTAGTTTGTGTCGACTGAACGTTAAACTCTCTCTCTCTCTCTCTCTCTCTCTCTCTCTCTCTCTCTCTCTCTCTCTCTCTCTCTCCCTTTGCTCACTCTATAGTAATAATAATGTATATTTATAATACTCTTAATAATCCATCCATATACGTCACGTCAATAAAAACACACATAAAACAATGTGTTTCTAATCTGGATAATAGAGCTTAAACAAATGAGTTTTTAGTTGTGACTTAAAGATTGTAAAAGTTTGAGATTCCCTAATGTTAACTTGCAACTGATTCCAGAGATGCGGTGCAGCAGCAATCAAACTTTTATCACCAAATTGTTTTAGTTTTGTTTTTGGAACAGTAAATATATTTTTGTTAGGCGACCTTAGAGTACGTTTAGGTTTATAGTTTGTCAAAAGTTCAGGGATCAAGATCATTTTGACATTGATATACTAATGGCAGAACTTTATACTGAATCTGGGAGTTCGACAGGCAACCATTGAGAGGAGACTCGAACACTGATACTATTGATAAATATTTTGAAGTTCTTGTTACAATCATGTAACACCCACCTTACCACCCCCCACCTCGTCCTCCCCCCCTCTCTCGGATGGCTCCAATTTTAAGTATATAAGAACGGCTCGGCCGTTTAATGATTTAATTTAAAGATGGCGAGGCTAAGTCTCGAATATACCAGTACCGTGGTTACGATAATAAACAACCAATGCACACAAACTACAAAAAACGATAACTTGGCTCAGAATAAAGCAATTTGAATAAAATTTTCAATATATTCATTTTGCATTATATCTAAATCTCTAAAATAATGTTTATTTAGAAAATTATATGGCACGGTTTTCAAAGCCATCCGATGGTACAGGGTGTTGATTATGGACTTGTCATGTGAACGAATGTCTAATAATTAATTTATAATCTGTATCACATTTGAAGTCAGAAAAAAGACCAGATTTGGCTCTTGCATAATGTATATTTAATATGAACGTAAACGCATGAGAAATCATTGTTGACCCTGTACCTAATAACCCATCCACATCCTTGTCAATGTTAACTTCACAATTAACCTTTTTAGAAAAGGTACACCTACAAAAAATGGTATAGCCTACAAGTACTCTTAGTGTGAGAAATAGTGTGTTCTACCGGTAAATTTTTCACTACTGACTTCACGGACAATTTCACGGTAATATTTTTACTACTTACATGTAGGGGCCTACATTACAGACAATTGGAAATGACGTCAAAACGTAGAACATTATATAGCAGTACCTGATGTCACAAGATTAGCATTCTTTCTCCAATGGGTTTCATATTATGTGGGGTATGTAATATGAGAATTGGGTTTATATGAATATCTGCATGATTTTCGAGGTTATGAGTGCAGGACGGATTATCTGACAAGGACAGCTGTCTAGTTGTTCGGGTGGGAAGAAAAACCGAGGCCCCGTGTACACATTGGCATGCACGTAAAAGATCCTTTGGCAGTTGGAATTCGATAGGAGTAGGCCATAGCGCCGCTGTCCGGGAAAATTTCCCCCATAGCACACTGTATATCGTATTGGCCAGCAGAACAGTAGGACGTTTAACTCCATTTCATTTCATTTCGAGTTAATGAATTTGGGGAGTTAGGGAAAACGGAGGCCAAACGCATAAATTTTAGATCATAAGATCTATGATTGGGTCAAGTGGCGTGGATTTCAACTCGGGCTTGTACGTGATGAGAAATAGGATCGCCTTCCTTACCACGTGGCTTTGCTCCGGGCCGTATTTGCTATGATAATGAAAATAGGTATATCCGATGCAGTTTTCTATGAGGGACATTTTCCCGGACAGTTTCCACAAACTCGTTATCGAAACCAAACTATAACAATTTTTTTTCACGTGCACACCAACATGTTTTGTCGTCCTATCCGAACGACTAGACGCTGTTCCGTGCCAGGCCCTCAATCCTGCAACATAGAAAAATTCCGAGGAACTTTCTTGGCAAACACCGGATCTCCTGGTTAGTAGGCTAGTGTCATACTCACCGAATCACCGTGGCTCCCTGCTTTGTGTGGGCCATATCATATAAAATTAAGGGGGTTGGATGGCAGAATGGTTAGCACGTGCGCGCTGTATCAAGGAGTAGGGTCGCCTGTTCTACCTCGTGGGTTTTCTGCGGGTTCCTCCGGTTTCCACCCACAGCTAAGGACCCCTACGCGCAAGCGAATTATGGAAATAAAATTAAACCATATGTAAGTCCCGAAATGGCCCAGTTTGTGTCGAGTGGACGTTAAACCCATTTCTCTCTCTCTCTCTCTCTCTCTCTCTCTCTATATATATATATATATATATATATATATATATATAATTGTCAGAAACAGGACCATGTCTTCGCTAAAATCTGAATTACGTGAATAAGTCGTCTCCTATACAATCAGATTGGTCAGATCTGTATCACGCGTATTAAGTCGTCTGCGACACATTGATATACAGACAATCAGCTTCGTTTGTTAATAGGGGTTGATGACCGTTTCCAGGACAAGTACATGTCATTTAATACCATGTAAGGTGTTGTCTGGTCGATACTTTAATCACGGCTGTGTCATCTTAAATAAAGGTCGTGTGGGATATTCTTACGTCAATGTCACCCTTCAATTCACTGTAGCATGAAAGACGGGACAGGTACAGGTAATTTTCCTGTCCGTTCAGGCTACTTATCGGTATAGGGTTGAGGTCATGGTAACTGCAGCCGAGAACATAACTTAAATATCGTATTGGATATGCTAAACCTTAATTCGACAATTTCACAAACTTAAAGATACATTATGTAAGATTTAGATAAAGAGCTACACTATGTTTCAATGAGGTAATGCGAAAGCCTTCTTTTAACTCTGTAGAAGATGACATACTAAACTTAGGCTGTATGTCTACAGTTAGTTAGTGCCGTTTAAGGACAGACACTAAGCCAGTTGACCGACATTTTAAGTCCTAAATCGACGATTTTAATCGAAATCACTAAATATACTTCGCCTTGTTTTGTTAAGTATGTATTCTACTTCCATTTAATAAAATTGAAAAGGTTTATTTAGTTTTTGTGTGTATGACAGATGTGAAACGGAGTAGAGAGAGAGAGAGAGAGAGAAATGGGGTTTAACGTCCACTCGACACAAACTAGGTCATTTCGGGACTAACATATGGTTTAATTTTATTTCAATAATTCGCTTGCGCGTAGGGGTCTTTAGCAGTGGGAGGAAACCGGAGGACCCGGAGAAAACCCACGAGGTTGGACAGGCGACCCTACTCCTTGTCACATACAACCGGGGATTCGAAACCACGCCATTCGACTCAATGCCAGACTTTATGATACAGCGCGCGCACGCTAACCATTCAGCCATCCAACCCCCCTGAAACGGAGTAGAACCGCATTACAAAACAGTATACTAATTTTTAGATATGGCGGCCATTTAGGGCAGAGATCTATTCTCGAAGTATGAAGTAGATGGATATATGTGTACAGAATGTAGAAGATGACTGACCTTTAAGTTCTCGCGCATTATAGGTCTACGTGTGACGTCACATTGTACGGCCTCGGTAACACGCGAATTTTTTTTTTTTTTTTTTTTTCAGCTCATTTTACGCCTTCTGTATATTATTTTATGTACCCATTTACACGAAATAGAAATCTTAGCAATTAATTTACAGAAGACATAAGTTAATATTTAGAGATAATTAACTGAGTGATAATAGCGGCCAAGCAGGTATAAATACTGCTGATCAGTTTGATAGAGCTGTCCGTTCTTGCTATAATAGATAAGGGGCATTAGGTAAGATTAGATAATTAAAGAGCTATAATAGTTAAAAAACAATAGATAATGAAAACAGAAAAAATGCGTCACTCTGAACCGAGATATTAACGATTCAATTTCCGGCTAGCCCCGGTCATCATTATTAAAGTTGATTATTAATCAATGTCTCGATTACCCATTTTTACGTTAAATTATCCATCACAAAATGCATTCAAATCCACTAAAGATTGCAGGCTAACGATGGCATCGAGAGTTGATTATGGCCTGGATCATTTGAAGCTAGAAACAAGTCCTATATTCATCTCTGACATAAAGCATCTTTAAAGAGCGGCATACCACTTATGATCATATAAAAAGCAATTACTAATTGGGGATTTTTCATTCGAACTACTTTAAAATGCACAGTTATGTTGGGGTTTTTTAAAATTTATCTTGATTTAAATCACATTGTATTGTATAGTGTGGGTGACTAGAATTCGACAAACTGGGGTCCAGTGTATATCATTTGCGGCCCATTAAAGGAGCTAAGTCTCCAACTCAATATTTTCCATAATATTCGAAATTAAAAACATGAATTAGAATTCAATATTGATCAATTTCAATCAACAGTGATGTTGTTATCTTGCCGTGAAACTATAGGATCCTAATATCCAATATTTAAGAGTAATCTGTTGCGCCACTGTCAGAGCATTATTTACCCCATTACGCACTGCATGGCGGGTTACATCTATTTGATAAGGCCAAATTCAGGTTTAGTCAAAGCGCTAATCCCAACCCTAGCCCGAACCATGGACATAACCTTAATGCTTACCCAAAAGCTAACCTAAAATCTCGCCAACAATCACGTACCCTAACCTTATTTACATCTCAGCGACCTTGACGAAAATTAACAAATAGTTAAGCTCAACCTGGCGTATGTCTGTGTTCATTAGTTCAGTTGTCACTGAAAAGTGATGTGTTAAAACCCATTTCATATCAGGTTTGGTTTGTAGTGCACATGGGGGTCACGGTGGCTAAGTGGGTAAGACGCTGGCTCGCTAGCCTGGAGGTCGGGTGTTCGATCCCTGCATTGGCTGAGAAAGTTCACCCAGATTTTCCGGCGTGGTTCCCCCTTGTCAGAATCACGACGGGGAGCCTGGCAAGGACAGCTGTCTAGTCATTCGGATGAGACGAAAAACCGAGGTCCCGTGTACACATTGGCGTGCACGTAAAAGATCCCTTGACAGTTGGAATTCGATATAAGAGTAGGCCGTAGTGCCGCTGTCCGGGCAAATTTCCCTCATAGCACACTGTATAGCGTATGCCCGTCTTCATTAGCCCAGTTCGGAGCAAAACAGTAGGACGTTAAACCCCATTTTATTTCATTTCATTTTGTAATGCACATGCATATTCCGAAACATGAAATATAAATAAAGAGTTGGTCGCTATTATAATATAATAAACACATGGGTTGATGGCCTACTATTTGTTGTAATGGTTTGTTGTTCAATGGCAGCACCAAACAACCTGTATGGCGCCAGAATTATTTTATTAACTGGACATAATTTGTCCGGGTAGACATTTATTAAATAATCGAAAGAGAGAGGGGGGGGGGGTAACGTCCAGCGAATTCAGTGACTCTGGATGAAAGCAAGATACTGGAAAATTTGTAGAAAGGGTTCTGTTGACTCCGTTTTATTTATATTGATCTATTCTATCACACCACACCTTGAGGAAGACCACAATAGGGGCCTTGTTCAACATAACTTGAACTAAAATATATTTAGAATGCAGCCCTTATTTTGGACAGGAGCTAAAATCTGTAGCCTACAAGGGTTTTATATTTCAACCAATGAAAAGACTGGATTTGTAAAAAGGTAATTTTATGAGAATGTCCCAAGGGCGTGTCTCTCCTCTTCTTCCTCTTCCCCAATATGGCTATTCTATTACCTAATCACACAAAGGACTTAATTTAATATGAGTATCATCAAGGGGGAAAACAGGCCCTTCACAGTCCTTAGAAAATTACGTTTGAGTTATTCAACTGAAGAATAGCTTAAAGGTAAGACCAAGTTTGCATTTTCAATTTAGTGGAGTATCTTACAGGTAAGCATGGTTAAATTTGATAAGAGTTTCGTTAAGGGAAATAACAAGGCCCTTCACAGTCCTTAGAAAATTCCGTTTGAATTATTCAACTACAGGATAGCTTGGTGGTAGGACCGGGTTTACATTTTTAATTTAGTGGAGTATGTTACAGGTAAGCATGGTTAAATTTGATATGAGTTTCGTTAAGGGAAATAACAAGGCCCTTCACAGTCCTTAGAAAATTCCGTTTGAATTATTCAACTAAAGGATAGCTTGGTGGTAGGACCGGGTTTACATTTTTAATTTAGTGGAGTATGTTACAGGTAAGCATGGTTAAATTTGATATGAGTTTCGTTAAGCGGAAAAACAAGGCCCTTCAGAGCCTTCACATTTCGTTTGAATTATTCAACTAACGGGTAGCTTAGCGGTAGGTCCGGGTTTGCTTTTTAAAATTTAGTGGAATGTCTGACAGGTAAGCCGGGCTAAGTTATTTTTAGAATTATGTAAGTTTATCAAAATCAAATGAAATTGGGGTTATCGTCTTTTACGTGCACTCCAACGTGTAGGTGGAACCTCTCTTGTTCGTTCCATCCGAACGACTAGACACTGTCCTGCACCACTGAGCAAGCACCCTATACCCGTTGAGCCACCGTGACTTCCACCTATCAACATATTCCATTCTATTTCTTGTCTTTCTTGCTCATATATTATTGGTGTGCATATTAAAGTTTTATCCCAGCTACACTAGAACATAACCAAGTGAAAGCATTACGGATGGACGATTCCTTGGCGTTATCCTTTCTTCCTAAAACAGATACATTATGTACGATTTAGCTGAAGGGGTGACCATTCTTGCTATATATTATAATAGCTCAAAAATAGATAATGTAAAATGAAAATATTGAAATTTTGACAAGATATTGTGTGCATAGTGGTAACCAGGGCACTGGTATATTCGAGACTTAGCCTCGCTTTCCCATTTTTAAATAAAATTTTTAAATGGCGAACCGTTCTAATATAGTTAAAATCTCGAGTATCCGATTCCATCGAGAGTTGATAATGGTCTTGTTTTGTTAATAAATGTCTATTTAATAGTTTATATAACATATCAGGTCTACTGATTTGGCTCTTACGTAATGTATGTTTAAATACTCAACGTATATAAAAGTTAAAATATTTCCACCACTGAAATAATCATAACCTCATTCCAGATCCATTAAAAACTCATTTGTTTTAAACAAGTTATAATGGGAAACTAAAGACTCTTTTCTGTAGATATGTTTTGTCAAGGGCTACGAGCACAATCTTTGTGGATTTTAGGCGCTACAGTCATGGACATTTATTATTATTATAAGATTCACTGTCTAAAATATTTTACTAAATTACATCAGCATAAAACCCAAACTATAAATCCAGTTAATCCACTAATTCCAAACTCAAACAAATCAAGCATCGGCATTCAGCACGAACATTAACAGATTGTCTGCGATATCACCCTGAGTGGAAGCGGATATTAAGCCCTACAAACCAACCACACTACCACCCAACATGAACAGACATGGTACTAAAACATATCCTTGTTACACTATGCTCGGTTCATAAAAAAAAAACGTGCTGTTTCTACGAAACTCCGTCCGCGTTGGTAGCTGATCAATAATGCCGTATAAGGGGCTGCATTTTTAAAATATGATAGGCTTTCTCGTGCACGTTGCTATGTATATAGGTCCGTAGTGAATTAACCACCTTATTCTAATCGATTGGGTGCATTAGACAATCCAGACCAAAATACCTACTCGATTTAACAGGGAATTTTATCAACATTCAATAGCTAAATTCAGGTATGTCTTAATGTTTGAATTTATTTTAGATTTGGTAAATATGTTCATTTTTTTTATAATGAAGTATATATGATGTAATTTGAATGTGAAGCAGAAATGCAGGGCGTTGTCAAAGGCAGCCTCGGTTTGAATTTAAGGCACCATGTGTACGCAAAATGGTTCACGCACCTGCCACTCTTTATTATTGAACGCTTTATTGTACCGTTTTAATATTGTGTGTATTATTACATATATTATATCTATTCCGGGAATGTATACTACTTGTTTACCTAACAACTACTGTTGATATAAAGTTTATTAATTATAATAATCGGTTCAAAGTCATATTGTCAGTTTATTGTTATGTTTGAATTAAAATTCAGGGACGAGCCTAAATATAGCAACAAGTTGTTTAAAACATTGTGTGGGTGTATATATTTTATTACTTTTGGACTGATTATCAGTCTGGCCTATGAATATGTATGTACCATTTTGGATTAGCTTAAGGAAGAGGGGGGACTGGCCAGGGACAGTGTCTAGTCTGTCGAAAGACGCGAAAAACTGCACGTGCACGTAAAAAACCCGCGACAGTTGGCATTCAACGAAGACTTGGCGGGAACGCCACTGTCCGAGAAAAAAATTCCCGCATAATTCACTGCATGGCAAATTATCATGCAGGGTGGTGCAGAAAGGTAGGACGTTAAACCCCATTTCATTTGATTTAGTTATGTGAAAGTCACTGAGACCGCCATTTAAGGGATTTTTAATACCCTTAAAACTACAAGCGTTTTGAGCATGCTTTTGAATGGATTTGACGCTACAAATGTGCATTATCCATTATTCATGATTCAACGTGAACCTCTAAAGGGATTGACAGTTCACAAATGAAATTGAAAATTTCTCAATAGTTGTCAAGCTAGCGCCACCTATAAGTGTTGTATACAATCTTTGGATGGGCCTCTGTTTTAAATCCGATTGAAACCATCCCGAGAGATTATCTAGCACTGGTATTTTGGCATTTTATTTTCTTAATTAAATGTTTAAATTATTAAACGGAAGGTTGCTTAAGTCCAGTTTTGAATTATTCAACCGACGGATAGCTTAGTGGTAAGTCCGAGGTTTGCATTTTCAATTTTAGTACAGGATCTTACAGGTAAATACCTAGCGTTGATATTTTTGTTTTGTTTCCTTAACTAAGTGATAAAAGTCAGTTTGAGTTTATTTGATCGTCGGGTCCTTCGGTTTCCTCCCACTGCTAAAGACCCCTACGCGCAAGCGATTTATTGAAATAAAATTGAACCATGTGTTAGTCCCGAAATGACCTAGTTTGTGTCGAGTGAACGTTGACCCCCCCCCCCCTCTCTCCCTATGACTTCCATTTAACCGAGGAGAATAAACAGAAATCATACAACACTGGGCAATACAATAACTCCCTCTCTCTCTCTCTCTCTCTCTCTATTTGATCGTATGTTCGGTGTCACGTGTATCTAGCAGATATTATTTTCTCGAATCAACTAACACAACGTTTCTTTGGTTTTGTTGTACCCTTTTTGTTATTTGTCCCTCCCATTATTATGTGTCTATAAATGGCCCACCTTTCAGTGAGGTATAATTATAACCTTAGCGTAATGGGGTGTTCAGTAGTAGTGTTTAACGTGTGGAGTCACCTTGCATAAAAATGTTTTTTGATTGTGCGTTGAAATATACATTTTAATTTGTCTGTCAATATCTACTTTAAAGGAACGTTATATAGATGAGAATGTATCCTAATTTTGTGATTGTGATACTGTACTTTCTGTATCCAGGTATGTACTATTACAGTAATTGTTGCTCGTGTCCATCTCCGGGCTTCTGGGGGCACTGATGGGGCTTCTGGGGGCGCTGATGGGGCTTCTGGGGGCGCTGATGTACCTTTACTTGACGGTCCACGGCGAACGGCACCGTAGACCTACCTCCGTTCGGCGAAGGGTCTAGGGTGCTCTCTCCCAGACAATTTTGCAAAATAGGGTTTGCACCTGAGGAGTGTAACTATGAAAATGACGGAAAATTTCAATTTTTGAGGCTGAATTTGCGATACTATTATGATGTTTTGATGTGAACATTATAAAAATTTGAAGGAAGGAATACGACTTTATAGTATCTATAATAATTTATGAGAAAAACGAAAAGTTCAGAATCGGGTTAGAGTGCGACTTGTTTGAATTTTGAAGATTATCATGCCTGGTGCGGGCTTGAAGCAATCTCATCCCCATCGTGAATTTGACATGGAAAATTTTCTACAATCTCCGGTTGGCTTTCTTATGGTAGATTTCTTCGGGCGTCGGTATTCGGTAGTGGGTCGCCCAACCAATCTCACTCGGCATTATGAGCGGCCCGGCAATCAAATGCTGTCATTATAAGGCGCCCCACCAATCATGTCATTATGGGCGCCCCTCTGGGATAAGGCACCCCACAGATCACTTCGTTTTGGGCGCCCCATCAATCAAGTTGTGGTGTTAATTGTGTGATTTATTATGAGGCGTCCCACCATTATGACATTGGTTAGGCGCCCCGCCAATCTCGTCACGGGCTCCCAACTAATGTCACCCGACTTTATGGGACGCCCATACTGATATGGGCACGTCGGTCATTCGCTTCGTATTGCGCCCAAAGGGGCGCTCATACTGACATCATTGGTTGGGCGTCTTATAATGACAATATATGATTGTCGGGCCGCACATAATGCATAATGCCGAGTCAGACTGGTTGGACGCCCACGATTTGATCATTGGGACGCCCAGATCGGCATGATTGGTGGGGTGCCTCATCCCGGAAAGGCACCCATAAAGCCGAGATTGGTGGGCCGCCCCCGACGAAAACTACCCTAGGAAATTTTCCAAGTCAAATTCACGATTAGGATGTGATTGATTCAAACCCGCTCCATAGTCGAGGGATGGATCACTAGTCACGTGACTATAATGTCCCGGGTTCGAATCACGGCGGGAACTGAGAAGCCTGCTTCTCACTTGGCAGAGATGACGCCTGCGGGACTACGTACGCCAGGTCCAATGAATGGGATGACGGATGGGGAGGTCAGAGATAAGAGAAGGCCACATTTTTCGCCCCCCTCCCCCCACGCAGGCATATCACATTGCACCCGCAGCCATAGAAATGAACATTACCATGTTAATCTCAAAATGGCCGACGTTTTGTGTTGTTCAGGTATTAAACCCATTCCATTCCTTACCGGTGGAAATTGTTCTCGGTCATGTCATTTACCCTGTAGTGAGTTACATGATATCCTCTTTATTTGCAATTTTGAGGGTATTTACTTACAAATAGCATTTTTTTTCTAGTCACTTACCTGTGGAAATTGTTCTCAATCAAGTAATTTACCCTGTAGTGCATGCGCTACATGATATCCCCTTTATTTGCAATTCTGAGGGGGTTTACTAACAAATAGCACTAATATTGTTGCTTTTTTTCTAGTCACATCTGGTATTATGTTTAGTAAACAGGCTGAACCAATTAACGAAGAGGAGGCGCCACAGTAAGATATTGTTTATATGTTTATACTTTTACTAGACAAAATGAGAGCCCATCATTGCTCAAAAGTTCTGAATTGTGATATGACCTTTACTTTTGTCCGCATCCCCCGGCGTGTGTCGCCAGAAGACTATACCTGCATCCACAAATAAACACTTTTTAATTTAAGGACCAATCCCAGATCTATGAGGCCTCACTGGAGCCAAGGTTTATGTCATCATCCTCGGCTTTGCTTAAACATACAAGAGCTAAATCTGCCTATAGCAGGCCTTTCTTTAAGTCTTAAATGTTATCTAAATTATTAATTAGACATTAATTAACTTACCAAGACCACAATCAACTCTCGATATTTCGTGGAATAAAATACATTTTATTGTGGATAAAATAACGGTAAAAATGGATAATCGAGACTTTGTTTATTATCATAATAACGGCAGTAATGGCAATCGAGGCTAGCCTAAAATTGAATCATTAATATCGAGGTTCAGAGTAAAGTAATTTGACTGAAATTTTCAGCATATTCTCAGTTAATTATCTATGTTTTAACTATTATAGCGAGAACTGTCAGCTCTTTATCTAATCTTACCTAATGACCCTTTAATTGTTTTTACAACACGCTTCCATATCTCTTTAATCCCATGGGTGGGGGTAGGAACATGTTTACACTAAAAGTGTGCACATCACCCGGTTTCTTCAAAACAACATGGGCTCCCTGTGAAGACAGGGATTACATGTATCTTCAAAATCCTGCCCCTTAACAAAGGACTAAATGAAAATGAATGGTTAACGCGTGCGCGTTGCATGAATAGGTCTGTAATTGAGTCAGTGGGGTCGTCTGTCCAACCTCTCGTGGGTTTTCTCCTGGTCCTCCGGTTTCCTCCCACTGCTAAAAATACCCCTTTGTTGAAATGAAATTGAACCATGTTAGTCCCGAAATGATCTTTTTGTGTCGAGTGGATCTCTCTATATATAAATCCTGATATTATTAAATGAATTTGTAACAATTTACTGTATACGCTTGACGGGGACATTAATCCGCAATCTGATTAAAATGCAGATCAATATTTCGTTTCGTTCTTTTTATACTTTCGATGGCCTTCACCACTCGGCAAATCTCGACAGATTCTACGCATTAGATGTAGGGTACCAATCTGTTTCACGGAGATTTTTTAATATCTCAGTTACAGATGACTGTTTCGACACGTGACGTCACATCACGCGGCGTCCATCATTGGCTCAATAGCGCGTGCATTGTTTACATAAGACGTCACGGATTCGGGCTAAATGGTGAATTTTACTTATTTTAATACCCATTTACACTAAATAGGAAATGATTTTTACCTACAAACAATTCAAACAACTTTATTTATTTTCTAATAAATGAAAAAAATGTTTCAGAATTTAATTTGTCGAAAGAAAAAAGTTAATATTTTGTAGTCATTATGTCGCATCGATGTCATCCTTATCAGTGATTGTAGCGGCCAAGCGAATATTCACTGCGGATCAGTGTGGTAGGGTACCGGAATCTGCCGAGGTTTGCCGAGTGTGGCCTACACGTCACACATTTGATTAACCAATCGGTCGTAACAGACCGTTTCATTGGCTAACCTCTCACATCATCCAGAACACGTCAATGATAACAACTCTTCCATTTCTTAGTGTAGTGAAGGCAGATAAAACGAAATGTTGAACTATAAAACACGAAACGAAATAGGATCTGTCTTTTAATCAGATTGATTTATCCAAATATCAATTTTCACTTTTCTTGTTTTGATTTGCATAAACATTTATATAGCCTATATATTTACATCAGAAATGGTGGTTTTTCTATTTCAACAGGGCTACAGAAGACTGGGAATACGTCCTGTATGCGTGTTTGGGGCTATTTGTAATACTATTTTGTTACTGCATGTACGACTCTTGCTGTAAAAGAAAGATTAATAGTGCAAGGCAAGCCAAATTAAATGCCACGGGACCTGCTGGTACAACGAGTAAGTTTTACCTCGACACATATTTATATATTAATGATGAAATTAAATGGGGATTAACGTCCTGTTGCTTTGCACCGACTGGACTAATGAAGACGGGCATACGCCATACAGTGTGCTATGGCGGATATTTGATTCAAAATTCTAAATTTGTCTAATTTCTAACTTTTATTTTTGTAGAACTAAATTCTAAATTAAAAGACAATGTATATCCATTTTCTCTATTTGTTCAGCGTTAATTTTAATTCTATTGCATCTTATTTAAGACGAAAAATGTATTTTTCATTGACGCTTTACATGTTGACCATGAACAATTTAGAATTTTACACTTATACCTAGTAACCGTCATTATGAAGTCGTTTGGTGTCACCACTGTGTGCTCAATTTATGTTTTTAAAAAACAACACAGAACGTGATATAGTTTGCAAATACTATGCAAAATAGGCTTTACAACATTTGTTGATTTATTTGAAGACAAGTGCAGTATTTGGAGAATTGTATTTGTTTTTGTTTTTTTACTTCACATTAACAAATTTAGAATTTTGAATCTAATATACCGCCATATAGTGTGCTATGGACGCAATTTTACCAGCAGGCCAATATGTACTCACACAGTACCTGCAGGGTTTTTCGTCCCATTATCGATGTCTTTATTTGTAAAATGTGCATAGTTTTGGAAACCGTATTAAGAAACTTGTAGCCTATAAGCTAAAGCTACAGTAAAAGAGTATCGTCTTGAAACATATCAAGCTGCACAATTTAACAGAAATATTGACATTGGCTGTCATTGGTTTTCTAGGCACACAGATACAACCATCTAAATTATTGCGTACGTAAGATTTTCGTTGATGAGACGGTAAAGGAGCTAAATCGGTAATATTTTGGACCTAGAAATTGACACAAATGGGTCGCAACATATATAATAATGTAATATGAATTTATATAAACTGTTTTACATTCAATCGTTTCCGTTTTACTGTGAATTGTCATTAGTTATGTTCGGCGTAATATGCCAGTAGTCTCAACCCAAAGTCAGTTTCTAGCGTCTGGTTATTCTAGTCAATACCGATAGTATTTATTGCGCATGCTCTCCAAACAAGAATATGGCATCTCCGTTTGACATGACTTGTGGAATATGTCTAACCTCATTGTTTGAGCACCTTGTTACAAATTGCGCTGAAACGCATTATGGTAATTATGGTAATTTTTTTTTGTTTGTCTTAAATATTGGATATCAGAAGCCCATCTTTTCCAGGTAAGGTCACAACACCAATGTTGATTTAAATTGCCAAAAAATTCGTGTTTTCTATGTCGAAGATTTTGGATGATATTGAGTTACGGACTTAGGTACTTTAAATCCCAAATCACCTTTATTAAAACACATCCTCTTCGTTTCAGATTTTATCTGGCCTTACCAACGCAGGAGTTCAACTGACACTGAAACTATTTCAATATCAGTCATCTCATCAAATTCAAATACAACGTGCGATCTGCCGCCATCTTATAACGAGGTCGTGACAAACAGTGAACTATACATGACGTCACCAACTGTGAATAGACCAATAACAACATCTGAACAATTATGATTGAGTAACGTAACGCTATTGAACAATATAAACTATATTGACCATTGAAGTCCAAAGTGACCCATCCTGGTGTGGAAGATGTACAAACTTAATGGATCGGGTTATCGAGGCAAACAGAATATTCGAATTAATCTATTAAAATGGAGACTTTTGTAAGATTTACACCAACCAGTCTCAACAACCGCGGTGGATTCGTTCTGTAATATTATTGATCCTCCCCTTTTAGGCGGTTATGGTTTCAGAATGGGAAGGAGGTGGGAGAGTGGACTATTTTGCTGACTGGTGGAGGTGGACGTTTGTAAAATACCGATTCGTTTTTACATAATTAACTCTCTGGTATATTTAGTATAAAGATACATCCGCGATATTTCATGTATGTCGAGAGTAGCCGTCAAATAGCAATTGAAAGTCCAAGTATTGTCCATATATTTTTGAATGACAAAATCAAAATAGTAGCCAAAAAACATTCCTATTTTCGTTTTTATGAATTAAAAACCGCATGACGAATACAACCCAAAACAATCGCCTGTAGAAATAGACATGATGACCTTGGATTGGGCTTGTCACATTGTTGAGGGTCACTGCCTTTTTCTTTGCTATCTTTCAACGACCTGTTTAAAAGGTATAATAGTATCATTTTGAAACAGCTTTATTCTTTTTTGATATTTTTACAAAATATTTTGTTATTTTTTGTAATTTTTACAAAATATTTTGTTATTTTTTTGTAATTTATACTCTATATTTAACAGTTGTTTTATTATTAAATTGACGCAAACCAAATCGTTGTATTATACTGAAAAGGTGAGTAATGTAAAGAAGAACAAAAAACATTCGTGGTCCTGCCGGTGTTTCGTAATTTACATGTGTTGGATATATTTGATATCATTGAAATGGGATAAAGTCTAAAAACTTCGTCAAGGTCAGGAGATGTAAACAGGACAAGGACACGTGCTTGTTGGCGAGTTTGTGGGTTAGGGCTAGGGTAAGGTCTATGGGTAGGGTTAGCGCTAGCACTGCGTACATCTCGTGAATTTTGACAAAATCTGCAGTTGGCCTTAATTTTAAGATCTAACTTTGAAATGGTTGGTTTAACGTGTTACTTTCCTGCACCAACCGGACACTTGAAGACGAGTATAGCCATGCAGTATGCTTTGAGAGACATTTTCCCCGACAATGAAATTTCGATTTCCAACGTTCGGGGCTTGGGGCCTCGTTTTTTTTTTTGGAGTGGGGGGGGGGGTCTACGCGTCACTCACCTGGACTACCGGGCACTTTTCCTTCCTAGGCCCACCATCCTGCACCATTGACAAGGAGAAACCAGACTGGAAAATTTCGAGGTACTTTCTCGGCCAACACAGAAATATAACCCGGAACCTCCTGGCTAATGAGCAGGCACCACATAAGTCATTACCGCTCTCCACGAAAATAGCTCTCAACATGTAATTAAAGCACCGTACAACACCAATGCATTAACGAAATCTTATGGCCAGTGGTAAATTGGACCTAAGTTGGGTCCAACATGGCAGCCGCTAATTAATGAGTCTACATGTGGAATACCAACCCTAACCCTAACCCTTTCAAAAGAAATGCGGCCATGTTGGTTCAATGACAGATTTTATGATACAATGCGCACGCCGTAACCATTTGGTCCCACCCCTCCTCTGTAATTAATGGATAATTATTTAAAAATTTCATCTCGCTTCGTCGCCAGGCCCTTTATAAATGTAATCTGGGAAATTGTGATATAAGGGAGACAACTCTCTTTGAAGTGGCTGAGAGATTTGGGAATCTCTCCCATAGAAAGAAAGCGTGGTCGGGGGGAGTAATTGCAACTATGTAACTTTTTGGTGGTATGTCAAAAGATAGTTTTAGATTTGAGGTAATTTGACTGTCGATGGTGTTAAAGGAGCTAAATCGCTAACATTTGGTACCTAGAAATTCACAAAAGTGGGTCGCAACGCATATAATACTGTAATATGAATGTATATAAACTGATTTACATTTAATGGTTTCCGTTTTTACTCCAATTTCAAATCAGTTATGTTCGGCGAAATAAGTCAGCAATCTCAATCGAGTTCAAATTTCTAGCGTCTAGTTATTCTAGTCTACATAACTCCATTTGATTTGGTGCAATGTGTCTAGCCTCGTCCCTCGAGTCTCTCAATACAACTGGGGCTGAAGCGCATTATGGTACACGATTCGTGTACCAATGTTAAAAAAATTATTTTATCTTAAATATCGGATATCAGAAGCTCATCTTTTCCCGGTAAGTTTACATCATCAATGTTGATTTAAATTGACCAATAATTCGTGTTTTCGATGTCGAAGATTTTGGAGGATTTTGAGTTACGGACTTAGGTCCTTTAAGACAGAACTGTCGAGCCATCGCTAAGTTACAGTCGTTTTAAAATCCCGTTGGGTTTTTGATATTTAAACGAACGCTCATTAATAATGATTTAAGGACACCAAATTTTCGATTTTGAGATATTTCAAAATATGGTATTATATGATATGTATTTTTTTTTATTTTCTTGTTATTCCTCTTATAAAATGAAACAAAACTTCTTGAGCGAATTAGAACTGACAGGAAAAGAAATTAAAACATTTTGCCGTTATAAAAGCGAAGTCAGTAGTGAAGTTACTATATTTCATAATAAGTCAGCTATTATCTTGTACTATGGAAGTTTGCCCCAGCATAGAAACGGCACCTCTTCTCTTCCAACATACACCTACTACAGTCTCTAAATCCATAAGTTATTCATAACTTTTCACTATCTGTCGTCAGTGGTTAACCTTACTATCTTCTCCCATTTATTTTATTTTTTTTGTTTTTTTTTAAATTATCCATTTCAAATTTATGAATAGTAGGCCAAAACTCTAACCACGTGCTCGGTGATTGTTGCCAAGTGGAGCTAGTCAAACAAAAATTAAAACCGTTTTCTTACGATTTTCTGAGAATAAACCCACTGCAAGTTAACTTAAAGTGCAGTTTGTTACATATTACATTTAAACAATTTGTGACATTCTTGTTTCCGACAAAGAGATATAAGAAAGAAAGAATCCCGAGCGGAAATATTCAAATAAATTCATTTTAGCTATTTGAAGCTTGATATACAGAAATATGCCTTTTACGTTTTATGTTGATTGTGCCTTTTCAAATTTTATAACATTTTATAAAATATAATACAATGACAAATCAGTAGTAATTTAATTGACAAAATCTTTTGGACCTCTTCTTGATAACAGAGATCAGTTTAGTAAACGCAGGAACACCCTGGCACAATTTTTAATTTTTTTGGGAAACGGGAACAGTACCCGTTAATCTAGCCTAGTTGGGGGCCGTGGTATTTTGGGTGTGTCTGTTAGGGTAACCCACCGCACAAACTATCTGGCAGTGGTCATTCATGATTCCTGTTGTGGTACTGAACAACTCCAAAGCTGCTTTAGGTGGTACCGATTTCAGCTAATCTAGCCTAGCTTTGGTCTGGAAATTAGATAACTCCTTTACTAGCAAATGTCTGGCAATAACATAGCTCTGTCAGGGGTACCCCGCCACTAGAAATGTCTGTCAGAGTGTTTTTGTAATACCTTAAGATGTACGGTACATGATGTACGATTTTCATGTGGTACACTTTTAAGCTAATCTAGTCCAAGAATCCACGCCCAGAATCACAACCCTCACAGTTACACCCACCATCAGAAAGCCGACATACTTACATTCTGATGACACCAGATATACATGCATTGATACCATATAGGAGAAAATTGGTACACTTTTCAGCTAGGTTATTATAAAAAACTTCAAGAAGAGTGGTATATTGCTTGTATTCGAAAAAGATAATCCATAAATGAATAATAATTACCTTATTTGACAAATGATGGTCGTGTGGAATCAGTGAACTGAATACATTTTGGGGCAAAATGTTGTTTTGGCTTTTTTTTTTTCTTTTTTTTTTTGATTAAAAAGTACTTTCGATGGTGTATTTTCTTAAAAGGGTATATATAGTAGCCTATTAGACTTGGCTACCGTACCACCCATGATTCGACATTCGCGATGAAATTGCATTTACGAATGAATCTTTTTCATAAAATTACAGTGACAAATGACTTGAGCTAAATATAAGCTCTTTAGTGCAATGAAGGAAAGCAACTCAGATCAAAAAATAAAATTATGAAATTTTTATCAAAGTAGGACTTGGCCTATTGAATTGAATTTGGCAGATTGCAGATTTTTCGCGTCTAAAAAGTTTTTAGCAATGGTGTGGGAGCCACGGTCATGACTAAGACTAAGAGTGTAAACTAAGACGTGTCAGAACTTAACTAAGACGTGTGTTCGATCCCCGTATATTGGTCGAGAAAGTTCATCGGGATTTTCCGACTTGGTGCTGGGAGGAAGGCCAGCTGACAAAGACAGTTCTCTAGTCGTTGGGATGTGACGAAAAGCCAATGTCCCGTGTATGATGATACATTGGCGTGCACGTAAAAGATCACCTGGCAGGGGCCTAAGAGTAGGCTAGGCCATAGTGAAGCTGTCCGGGCAAAACTCCTCTCATAGCACACTGTATGGTGTATGCCCATCTTCATTGGCCCAGCCTACTTTACTTTTGAAGGGGCCAGGATGGGGCCGACGAGGGTGTGGTTTCGCTACTGTCAAAAGGAGATAACTCTAATGTTGCAACTTTCGATTTCATTCCTGCTATTCCAGTTCGAGGCTAGCACGTGCTGCAGACTTGGCGTTAAGATTAAACTTTTCTCTAGACTCTGGTAAGTAAGGTAAAAAGAAAAGAGTAAACTATTGATTGTTGTGTCCATGGCGTGTTCATTATTTCCAAAAATCAAGTAATTCGAGGTTTCACGCATCATTATTGAAAGAATCAATGTATAAACAGAATATGAAAATGAACGAACTCGCTGCATGACAAGTCTCTGGAGTAGGCCCTACTGGAGACGGAGTCAAATCTCGAACCGACAACGAACCCCAGTCGGTCACCAGAAATTAATATAGCCTATAATTAATCAGACAGTCTTTATTTTCCTTAAAAATCATATTCTTCCACAGTGAACTGTCTTTCGCATAAGCTCCTCAGGGAGGATTAACTGAGCTAAAACCAGCTGCAAATTTATCAGAAAGAGTGTAGGCCTAGACTAACAGTAAAACTGTAAGAAAAGTTAAATAACAAAAATGAAAATGTCATAAAAGAAAACAAGATAATTTAATCCAATTATAATGTTCCAAAAAAAGAAAACATCAAAATAATAAGTCATGGCTATGACTGAATAAATGTAATGCAGGGTTTTTAAGATCTGGGTACGGTAGCCCAGGTGTGGCCATTCATCAACATAAATAATTTAACCATTACTCTGTACAAAAACCCCTGAGAATTATTTGGAGGGGCATATTTAGTGCTAGAGAGATACTTAAAATTGAATCCTTGCAAATTATTAGGAGACCGTATCTAAATTAATCTAATATCTATAGGGGCCTGTATTGACAGGACTTGTCCATTGGCACAGCCATGACATATGCCCAAAATATTTAAATCAAATGAAAGTACCGGTAACGTAGTAAGGTTTTTATGATTTAAAAGTAAGAACAATTTGTAGCTTAAAGATACATATGGGAGATAAGATAAAGAGATGGCAGTTCTCGCTATAATAGTTAAAAACTAGATAGTGTAAAGGTAATTTGCTGAAAATTTCAGTCAAATTGATCCACTATGAGCCGAGAAAGAAGCCGGTGAAATTTTTGCAGTCTCAGTCATCATTACTAAAATCATTAATATAAACAGCATAGTCTCGATTATCCACTTTTTCTGATTTAATTATCAGTGGCCGTTAGCGGCATATAGGAATCTAATCCAGCCAACATCGAAGGCTAGTCTTGACATCGAGAGTTTATTATGGTCTGGATAAGTTAATTAATGTCTAATTGATAATTTAGATAACATTTCAGGCCTAAAGAAAGACATGTAATAAGCAGATTTTGCTCTTGCATAATGCATGTTTAAAGTAATTAAGTCTCTAACTCAATATCATCCAAAGTCTTACATGTTGAAAACACCAATTTAATATTTGTCAGTTTAAATCAGTATTGATGTGATCTTACCGGGAAAAGGTAGGCTTCTGATATCCAATATTTAAGACAAAATAAACATTTTACCATTGGTACACAAATCGTGCACCATAGTGCGTCTCAGCATCATTTGTAGCAAGTGACAGAAAGAACGAGGCTAGACATATTCCACAACTCCTGTCAAACAGTGACACCATATCTGATCTGGAGAGCATGCGTAATAGACTGGAATAACCAGACGCTAGAAATTGCCATTAGGTTGAGACTCATGCCGTATTTGGCTGGACATAACGGAAACACTTGAATGTAAATCAGTTTATATACAATTACAATCAGATTACATTATGCTTTGCGACCCGACCCATTAGGGTCAATTTCTAGGTTCCAAATGTTAGTGATTTAGCCCCTTTAATTAATGTGGAGACGGTAAATGACTTTTAACAAGATTATGGGCCTTTACATGTAGATAAGAAACCTGATCTCTTGGTCCTGGGTGTCTCTAGGTAAAAGAGATAGTTCAATCTGGCAAAGTATGATGCGAATCGGATAGTACTTCAATAAGCAAAACTGTCAATTTTTTCTTCAAAACAATAACTGATTATTGTTATTTATAACATTTCTGCCACATCCGACTGCAATTAAGCATATAATCCTACCTGAAACAAGTTATTAATCATCTCTTTTAATTCAAAGCGTTAAAAGTGGTTTAAGGTCTGCCAAGTGGCGTGGTTTCGATTTTCCGCTTGTACGTGACAAGGGTTACCTGTTCAACTTCGTGGTTTTTCTCTGCTAAAAACTGTCAGTGATGCAGGACAGAGGGCCTGACAAGGACAGCTGACTAGTCCTTCGGATGATACGAAAAACCGAGTGGAATGCATGTAAAAGATCCCTTGGCAGTTGGAATTTCATATAAGACTAAGAGTAGGCGATAGTGCCGCTGCCCGGGCCAAATTTCCCTCATAGCACACTGTATGGCGTATATGCCCGTCTTCATTAGCCCAGTATAGGAGCAGAACAGTAGGACGTTAAACCCCATTTCATGTCAGTTCAGTCCTGACATGAACTAGTTTGTGTCAAGTGAACATTAAACCCCATCTCTCTCTCTCTCTGGCCTCAAGTGTCTATTTGTTTGGATAAGAAGGAAAAACAAGGTCCTGTGTGCGTGTAAAAGAACCCTTGACGGAATTTTAAAAATTGATTTCCTTTTCTCGTACATTTACTTTACTATTCACTCAAATTTCTTTTTGATTTTCTAGGTCCAGAAATTACCCCCCTTGAATAGTAAAAGACAAACCAATAATGGAAACCAAATCAAATAAAAGGGTAAGTCCAGTTGGAGGAACTGTTCGAATTTTTGCCAGGTCTGTACAAGACGTTACTGCCAACAAAACTAACAGGACTATTAGTAGTATTTCATCACCGTCGAAATCCAATGAGAACAGCCCAAATAAAGATCAAGAATGTATAAACGATTGTGTTGAGTCCTCGTCTAATCCTTTTGCGGAACTGTATCACGGCCAAACTGTTGACAGCAAAGAAATTACACTTTCTCAAACACCCACTACATCAAAGACACTAAATAGTACTATATCTGAAAATTCACAATCGTCCCGAAGGTCAATCATATCGCAGTTGAATAAAAATACTGAAATTGATGAAAAAGAAAAATGTACAACGATAAAAGTTACTCTGAAGACCATCGTTCATAATGATCAGATCGACCCACATGTTAATCCTCAATTAGAATCGAAACATCTAAAACCAATATCTGTACCAAAGAAAAAGAACTTCAACAAAGAGTTATCTACCCATGAATCTAAGTCAACTGAGAAAAGAGGACATCTACCAATCGTATTGACAAATGACACAAGTCATGATAAACCCAAAAATCCTCAAAAGGTGAAAGTTAAGAACAAAGTATCAAAGAATAATAGTAATCCAAAAGATAAGGTCAAGACAAAATCACCAATCCACGGTAACATAGAAAATTCCAAACCTAGGATCCCTAATTATCCCAGAAGGTCGTCTACCAGCAGTAATAATAGCAATGAATGTTCGAAAGACATTAGAATTTCTAATAGAAAGAGTTGTGGTTTCCATGAAGGCAGTTTGAAAGATAAACAAACTTACACCAGAAAAGGCAGCTTCAAAGGTAACAGTACTTATGCTAGAAACACTACTTACCCAAGATGGGTACAAAATAAAGTCAAATCAGAAGGTGAAAACTGGAATTTAGAATTAATGGAAATAGTACCAGTACCTGGAAAAGATCCAATTAGAACAGAATTTCATAAGACAGAAATGTTGGCTCTATCATCTGGAGAAGGATCTGTTGAAAAAATAGATGAAGATAAATTGAAAGCTTTAAATTGTGCTAACACACAATCGATCAAGATCCGATCAGTGAGTGAATCTGACATAAACATAAATAGCGATGCTACTAATTTCACCACCAGTCAAGCTCAAAATTCTGCTCTAGATGATTGGTCTGAAAAAGCTGGCGAATCAGGTTCCCTAAAAACTTTAAATTGTGAAGACTCCCAGTCCATCAGGGTCAGATCTGCGAGTGAATCAGGCATAATCATAAATAGCGATACTACTGACTTTACCACCAGTCAAGATAAAACTCAAAATTCTGCGCCAGAGAATTGGTCTGAGAAAGCTGGCGAATCGGGTTTCCTAAAAACATTAAATTGTGAAGATATTCAATCCATCAAGATCAGATCTGTTAGTGAATCAGACATAAATCTAAATAATGATACCGGGAGATTCAAAGACTTAAACCAAGATAAAATTAAAAATGTAGCACCTGAGGATTGGTTTGAAAAAGCAGATGAGTTGAGGCCTTCTGAAAGTTTACAAAATGAAGACACCCAATCCATCAAAGTCAGGTCTGTGGGTAAATCTAGTAATTTCACTTCACATGAAGATAAAACACAAAATTCTTCACAAGAGAATTGGTCTAAAAAGAGGGATGAGTTGGGTTCTGTAACAGTTTTAAATTGTGATGCCACTACAACAACTTTAAACCATCAATCTTTAAATCAAGATAGTATCCACAATTCTACACCAAGTGATTTGTCAAAACAAGCAGATTTCCCTGATTCCATAAAAACATTGGATACTGAAGGATCTCAAAAGTTTTTTCAACCATCACAGAACCAGTCAAAGAGTGAATGCACCAAAAATGGCCATTCTACACCAAATGATTTGTCAAAACAAGCTGATGTCCCTGTTGCCATAAAAACATTGGATACTGAAGGATCTCAAGAATTTTTTCCACCATCACAATACAAATCACAGACCGAACACACCATGAACGACAATTCTATTTGTTTCACAGAAAAAAAAACATGCTCGAATAAAGACAATACTCCATGTTCTAATTCTGCATCAGAGGATTGGTCCAAAGAAATAATTGCAGATCTTGGTCAACCTTCCTCTTTTGACCCATTTCCAGATAAAAATGGAAATGTCCCGGCTGAAAATGACCGGATTACTGAACTTGAACCAGATAATTGTAATTTATCTAAGCCAATTGTAAATGTAAATGATAATTCAGATCAAAGTTTAATAAATATTGAAGTAACTGATGATAATTTAAATGATAATGTAAAAGGAGCAACTGATTCAGACAGTGTTATATATTTGCAGGAATGTGAGCCACCAGAAAATCGCAAATTGAGACCAATCCATGCTCGGGGTGGAATCCAGCCACCTACTTCCTGCCGTAGAAAAGCTTATTCAGTCTCGGATGATGACGGAAAAATTAAACCTCATCCTCTGTCTGTTTATTTTGATGAAGATTGGTGTAAATTGCAACTGGAAGCTAAAAAAGAAACAGAAAATCCAAATACCGAAACACAAAACACTCATGTCCTGGATGGAAACGTTGAATCGAGATTTAGTCAAGATTATCGAAAAAATCAGTTTATCAAGGAACAGCAACCAACAGTTGATATTGTTCAAGTGTCACCAACAAAACCCTTTTCACCTCAAAGTTCAACTCTAAAGAGAGGTTCAAGAAATCAGAAGGAAGATTCAAAATTCCTTCCAATACGAACTGACAAATCAATTGACGAGAAATTAAAAAAACTGGATGAAAGTTTTGGATTTAGACGACCTAAATCACATAGCATTTCAGATAAGAGGCAAGATTATCAAAGGAATAAATTCAAACCACGGAATATTCATAATAACAGGAGTAAATTTGACTCTGAAGATTGGACATCAGAACTGCTGGAAGTTCCCGCTATTAGTTCCACAAAAATTAAAGACGACTCTCAAGTATGGCCAAAGAACGATACTTGTATGGAAACTTATATTACAGTTGATGATTTTGATAATCGTAACGATGATATTTCAGAACAGTATGAAATTAACAAAAACAAAAAAGCTTCCCTACATGTACATCAAAAGGAGAATAAAAAAATTGGTGACTCCTGCCTGATATACTGTGAAGACAAGAAACCTTACAAAGTATCTAATATTGTCAATAGTGCTAGTTTATCCTCCAGCGTCCATGATAGTGCTGCTTTGTCATCTAGTGCTTATAATAGTGAATCATCAGTGGCCATACATAGTGAGAGAAAACATGAAAAAGAAAGAATAGTTATTGATGATGCATCACATGTGAAAGCAAGATCAAAGCCTTCCAAATGCTCTTCACCATTGAAAAGAAAGGATGCAAAGATGCTATCATCTAATATTGACATTTCAAATATTGTAATCAGTGATGACATATCAGATTATAGTAGTATAGTGTCAGATAATGATGTTGACAAATTTGTTCAGACTTCTCACAAAACTTTTAAAATACCAGATTCTGATGACATAGAACATTGCTCGCAAAGACATTGTGTGTCATCAGACAGTCGTTCACCAAAAGACAAAATGAGAAAACAATATAGTCCAGAGAGAACAGCTGCAGTTATGTCTACATGTAGCTCGTCAACTGAATTGAATAAGCATTCATCAGATTATTCTCCCTCAAGGCAACCCAGCAGAGACTCTGGCTTTTATGGGAAACATGGTCCAGCACCAGAACATTGTGATTATAACTTCTATCAACATGGAAAACCACCTGTATTTGACCCCAGGATGTTCAACCCTTATCTTCAAGCACCAGGTAACTGGATGCCCTTTTATCCCTACAATTACATGTGTCCACCTTATTATCCCTGTGAATATGATCTGTCTCTCGCACAAAATCCTCCAAAAGAAGAACGTGAAAATCATCCAAACAAAAAACCAGAAATAATTCCACAAGAAACAGAAAATAAAACACAAGACGCCAGAAAAATCAAATCTGAAGATCATGAAAATGATAAATTGGACAGGAAAGAAGATAAACCAGAGATGGACTTGTGTTCTTTAATAACTGTTCCGTTAAGTGAAATTAGTGACATTGAACAAGCCAAGAACTTATTACATTATGTCAAAAATTCTGTAAGTCGAATAACGGACGCTACTGGGTTTTACTATAAAGCTTCTTTAGAACATGATGTGCCAGTTTTACATGTTGGTGCAACAACTAACAAAAAAAATTCTTTGTCAGAACAGAAAACAAAACCTTGTCGTAGTCATTCTTCTGACATTGGTCGTGAAAAGGAGAAACACAAACGGAGACAAACTCGTCGAAATTCTTCTACATCTCTAGATGCTAGGTGCACAGGAAATAGAAATAATAAGTCAAACTTTTACTCATTGTCTCAATCACCTGATTCTGGTAGAACAGTAGAATTTTTATCCAGCCCACCAAGCACCTATCATTATCAACCTAGATATCCGATACCAGAATCACTTTTACATCATGGTTCCCCACCAAAATCACAATCATACACTGGACAACCTAGATTTCAACATCAGGGTTTCACACTACCAGATTTTGACAGCTACGATTCATCTAGAAACTACAGAAATAATTGTAAGTTTCTTTCATATGCATAAATTGTTTAAGAGAGTGTGAAAATAGCGTGAAAGACTGAACATTTTCAAAGAATATTTGAATGAATTTCTTGTTATCGTAAAGTTACTCACATTCTATTTGACGCCATGCTGTCAATGGAAACAATTATTGGGTGTATTCGATGAGTGTATAACAACAACAACAACAAAAAAAAAAAAAACAAGCTTTTAATTTTATTTTATTGTCCCCTGCCTTTCGAATAAAGTAGAGGACTATTAAAATGAGTCTGTCCGTCACACAGTTGGGACACAATAACTTTCCTTCTAATTGAGCTAGAATGCTCAAACTTGGTGTTTATTAGGTGAATGCCTAGATGAAGTTCAAAGATGATCATTTTCTGCTTAGGGTAAGCAGAGATAAGTAATTTGATTGGTTGATACTTTGGGACACGATAACTTTGGTTCTAACTAATTGAAACTTGGTGTATAGTTTCATCTTATCACAATACCTTGACCAAGTTTAAAAATGAACATTTTCGGCTCAGGGTAAGCAAAGTGATAAGCAATTTGATTGGTCAAGACTTTAGAGCTCGACAGCTTTGCTTCTAATTGAGTGATAGTGGTGACGCTTCGTGTATAGTTCCATTACATCAATACCTTAACAAATTTCAATGGTTGAGACTTTGAAACACAATAACTCTCCTTCTAATTGAGATAGAATGTTCAAAATTGGTTTAGGTGTCTATTAGAGTCGAGAATTTGATCATGCACATTTTCCACTAAGGCTAAGCAGAGATAATCAATTTGATTGATTGAGACTTTGGAACACGATAAGTATGGTTCTAATTGGTCAAGAGCGATGAAACTCTGAATATAGATATGTCCGTCCACAATTTGTTTGTGGACACTCTACAGGTCACAATTCTTATCCGATTTTGACGAAACTTAAAATATAGGTTTATCTCCACAAAAGATCTCCGTTCCTTTCGAATCTTCATGGATTATGGCCCCGGATTGTACGAAAAATCACGTTTTTAGCTTGTGAACACTCTGTCACAATTTTCATCTGATTTTCATGAAACTTGAAATGCTTGTTATAACCCAAAGATTTTGGCGTCTTTCGATATTTGCGCATATTGGATCGTAACTTCCTGAATTATGGCCCTTGAGTGTATGATAAAGCGTGTTTTTAGCTTGTGGTCCCTCTAGATTTAACAATTATCCGATTTGAAAAACCGTTTGAATATGTGACCGTTACACCATAATGATGGTTGAGTTCGAATTTCGTGAAAATTCGATCAAAACTGCCGGACAAAGTGGCGGTCTCTCGTACGCAAACAGTGTAAAATTATGGTATATCACGGTTGTGGACCCACTAGAGGCCACAATTTTGATCCGATTTTGATGAAACTTGAAATACGTTTTTGTTCCCAGAAATTGTGGTTCCTTTCCATATTCATGCATATCGGATCGTTATTTCCTGAATTATGGCCCTTGATTGTACGAAAAGTCACGTTTTTAGCTTGTGGTGACTATAGAGGTCACAATTTTTTATCTGATTTAAAAAACCATTTGAATATATCACTGTTACACCATAATGATGGTTAAGTTCGAATTTCGTGCAAATCTGACCAAAACTGCTGAACAAAATGGCCGCATCTCTCACGTAAATAGTGTAAATATATGGTACCGTATATCAAGGTTGTGGACCCTCTAGAGGCGACAATTTTGATCCGATTTTGATGAAACTTGAAATGCATGATAATAACCCAAAGATCTCGGTTCCTTTCAATATTCACGCATATCAGATTGTAACTTCCTGAATTATGGCCCTTGATTGTACGAAAAATCAGTTCTTTTTTTTAGTTTGTTCTCTGTCCATCTCTTGCAAAATTTTGGTGTATTTTGCATGGCAATCACTTGTTGATCACTCTTATTGGATTGATAAATACTTTGATCACTTGATTATCTAATCAATGAAGCCTTTTATCAACAATAAGCTAATCCAGATGAGTAGTAGTTACACACTCGGAACAGTCAATATATTTTGGAATTTTGAATATTAATCAAAAATATCCGATTGGCTATAGTCCTGGTCAGGCATTTGGAAAATCGCGCAATACATGTTCGGATTATACAGGTGAAATAGCATCCCTAGTGGTAATCCTTTTGTTCTGATCACGATTAAATTATTACAAAACTAGAAGTAGTACTGATATATTACATAAAGAGATTCGCATTGACTATTTCAAAATCATTAAAAATAAGAAAACGCCCCACATGCGTAAATTGTAGGTCTTGGCCTTCAATAACAATATTCATAAAATAGAAATTTCTATATTGATAAATAATACAACGCAACCAACCGAAGAGTGGTAATTAATTGGTTTAGTGTCCACTCGTCACAAAACTATTGGTAGGTCATTTTGGGACTAACATATGGTACAATTTTAGTTCAATAATTCACTTGCGCGTATGGGTCTTTTGCAGTGGGAGGAAACTGGATAACCCAGAGAAAACCCACGAGGTTGGACATGCACCCCTATTCCTTGTCACGTACAACCGGGAAATTGAAACATGCCGGTTGACTCAAAAATGACAGACCTTGTGATACAGCGCGCACACAAAACTGGGAGAGCAATATTTTCATTTTGTTGATTAAGGGGAACTTTTTTCGCTCTCCTAAAATACAATCAACAATGACTGGTATTCCAATTTACCTCCTATGAATTAATGGATCTCGAGCATTCTGGGACTATGATTTACTACAGGAGAGAAAATTATTTTAGTAGATTGTGCTCTGAATAGATTTAGCATCCAAGATATGACGGCTCTGATCTGGTTTCCATACCATAGTTATGGACAAACTGCAGGAACAAACTGCAGGAATTCCCTTAGCATGATAAATGCACAGCAGACTTTACTACCATATTTATTGGTAAGACTAAAAGCACTGCAGGAATGCCCTTACTATACTTATTGGTAAGACTAAATGCACTGCAGGAATGCCCGTACTATACTTATTGGTAAGACTAAATGCACTGCAGGAATGCCCGTACTATACTTATTGGTAAGAGGGTCACGGTGGCATAGACTCTGGCTGGCTAGCCTGGAGGTCGGGTGTGTTGCCCGAGAAAGTTCATCCAGATTTTCCGGTGTGCTTGTCAGTAATGCATGACGGAGGGCCTGACAAGGGCAGCTATCTAGTCATTGGGATGGAACGAAAAAAAACGAGTTCCAGTGTATACATTAGTGTGCACGTAAAAGATTCCTTGACAGTTGGAATTCAATATAAGAGTAGGCTGTAGTGCCGCCGTCCAGGCAGAATTTCCCTCATAGCACACCGTATGGTGTAGCCCGTCTTCATTAGCCCAGTTCGGAGCAGAAAAGTAGGTCATTAAACCCCATTTCATTTCATTTCTTATTGGTATTGGACTGTAGTAATTTCCACAACATATTTATTAGTAGGACTAATGCACTGTAGTAATTCCCATAACAATATTAATTGATAGGACTAATTGGGCTGCAGTAAGCTTCTTAAAATATTTATTTCTTGAATTTAATGTTCTTTCTCTTTATGTGTATTTTCAGGTGATATGTATATGAACCAAGACAGTACAAAGATGAATGAAGTTCGATCTTTGAATTCTAGTATTGTTAGCTACGATTTAACGGACGAAGATGACAGTTATGATGAAGATGGTGGGTTCAATTCTCAGAAATTCATCAGAGAAGTTAAACAGGTACTTGATAGTGATGGGGATGTGACAGAATTTGATCCTCATAGAAAGGTCAAAAGCACAGAATGTGGGTCTGCTTACAACGAAGAATTTCCAGAACTAAGTAAACAGTCAGGTAAATCAAAACCTCAGGTCGATCATCGATTTGTCGAGAAGAAAGGTAAACGAAGAATCTGTGAACCACTGTCAGATAAACAGTTCCAGAAGGAAAATAATCCTGTGACTTGCCGTCAGTCCGATTTGCAAAATGTTATTCAATCTATCAATAGTCGTTATGTACCACCACATAAAAGAAGATTTTCAGAGGATTCAGAATCGTATTCAAGATCATTCACTAAGTTTGGGCAGTTTAATGATATTAATCCAAACTCTTCACGGCAAAGCTGGGAGAACAATTCCAGGAGGTCTTCTGATCAGTGTGCTGGTGGAGATGTAAGAGATAGATCACCAAATCTTCTGAATCGTAATTGGTCACGAAATTTAGTAGCAGCAGATGGTTTATCCACTAGTTCAAATAGGTACGAATGTAAGTCAGATCCGTATGCAAAGCCAACATTTCAAGCTGACAAAGGCCGCTATCAGCAAAATTTTGATACAAAAACATTTGTTAATTCTTTTTATGGGCAGCATGATAGAAGGTCATCTGAATCCAACTCCTCTTCCAGTTACTCATCTCGATTACAGTACGATAACAGATTACGTTCAAATACTGGTGTCTTGACTTCTGCAAACTGGAAGTTTAGATTGAATCAAAGATGTCAATATTATAAATCTACCTTCATTGATACTCATTGCCATTTAGATTTTTTATTTGAGCGACTAGAGTACAATGGCAGCTACAAGGATTTCAAAGAAAAGTACAGTGATAGTTTTCCACAGAATTTCGAAGGCTGTATTTCTATTTTTTGTAACCCTAAGAGTTTTAAACATTGTAAGTCCTTCCTTTTATTTTATTTTATTTTACTACTACAAAATGTCATTTGGACATTTTTGCAAATTTGTAGCGTCTTTAAGGGTTTGTTTTTTTCGCACCTGTTTAATGTAAACATATCTTGTCCTCACCTGTCATTTCTTGTGAACACTCTACAGGTGAGAGTTCATGCAGGGATTGTTCATTGGAACATTTACAAAATATCAGGTTATTCAGTAGTGATAAGCAGGGCCGGCGGAAGCAATTCTTGATTGGGTGGGCTTCCATCCTAGGTCCTTATAGGCGTGTGTCCAGGGGCCGCAATAACCTGGAGAAAAGAGTACTTGCGGCCAAAATATTTGGGGGGCTTTAGCCCCACTCCGCTGGGCCTGGTGATAAGACAAACAATCCATCCAAATTTCAAAGTTTTTAGACAATGAATTTTAGAGCGTGACGGGTAGTGCTGGGTATTACGACTGCAGCCACGATACAATACGTATTGCGGTTCAGGTACTACAATACAAATGTTATCAGGATTCATAACCAGGTCAATATTTACTAAGACAACAGGATAAATGGATGATAATCGAGCTGAAATTAGAACATGTATCTGTTATTGCTCTTTTCTTCCGTCAGTTATAATAAGGATAACTTGTCTTTTCCATTTTTTGCAACACTTACCTTTTCTTCAAATCTTCGTTAGGCATCTACCGTAGCAATGATCTGTGTGTTAAAATTATATTTGGAATCTGTTTAACCAGTTCTATCACATATTGTCCTTTAAGAAAAATTGTCTGTTAGTCTAGAAAAAATAATCAGAGTTTGCGCAATGTTAAACTCAATTCCTTTCCTTTGCTTTAATATGCACAGTGTAATGCAATGGTGAACAAGTCCTAAGAGTGTGGGGATTCCCCAGTTGTACGTGACAAGGAGTAGGGTCAGGGTCGTCTGTCCAACCTTGTGTGTTTTCTCCCGGTCATCCAGTTTCCTCTCACTGCTAAAGACCCCAAAGCACAAGTGAATTATTGAAATAAAATTGAACTATATGTTAATCCCTAAATGACCTAGTTTGTGTCAAGTGGACATTAAACCCCATTTTTATCTCTATCTCTCTCTCTCTCTCTAAGAATATTGGCTGCTCTAGCTAATCACTACCTCATTCCAAGTGATTTTAATTTGATTTAGCTAATGTGAATTAACATTTATTATATATTTTGTATACAGCTGGATTGTGGATGGAATTTGCTGAGGAAGAAAATGTATGGATGGCTATGGGCTGTCATCCTAAACATGCTAGTTCTTTTGATCCTATCGCTGAGGAAAATCTCAAATATATTATTAATCATCCTAAAATAATTGCCGTGGGTGAAATAGGACTTGACTATTCCAGTTAGTAAGTTGTCCAGTTGCTTAATATTTTCATATTTCTCCCCTACCTATCGGATGAAACCAGGTTCTCTTAAACATTCCGTTAGATAATCTGATTAAAGCACAGACCTTATTTCATTTTATTTTACTGATCTTTACTACACTAGGATCTGGAACAGGGTTCCCGCGGTCCTTGAAAATCCTTGAATATCCTTAAATTTAAAATTTCATTTTCAAGGTCTTGAATATCCTTGAATTTCGCGGAAATAGGAAAATATCCATGAATTTCAGTTGAGATCCTTAATTTTGTTTCAAATGTCTTCAATTCCTTTAAATATGAGATTATAACGATAGTTGGTAATGTTTTGGTTATTTTTAAGATGAAAAATTGTAACTTTAGGCTAAAAAATGTCCTTGAAAATCCTTGAATTTGACGTATATTTATCCTTGAATATCCTTGAAAAAATGGTTGACGAAGCCGCGGGAACCCTGTGGAAGAGTTGTTGTATAACGCATATTCTGGGTGGTGTAAGGGATTAGCCAAGAAAACTGTTACGGCAAAGTCTTGGTGCGCAGTACACGGAACTGTGGGTATCCCATTATTAACGCTGATTTGTTTATCAAATGTCTTGATGTCATAGGGTAAAAATAGGCTTGTATGACCCCTGACGTGACCTCCCACTGCAACCGATCAGATCTTCATGTAGTGGAGGCCATCGAAAGTAAAAAATGAAACAAAATTTAGATCTGTATATTAATCAGATTGGTACCTTGCGCCTTTTGGAACACAGTAACTCTGCTTCTAATTGAGATAGAGCAGCCTCTATCTTTCAAACATTTGAATAATTACCCCGCTTAATGTTTCATTCTCATTGATGACCTTATTTGGGGGTTGTGTTTATATTCATAATGATTTCCATAAAGAAAAACCTTGTTCACCTTACTGTAGACATAAACTTGGTTACAACTTTAAAAAAATTCATATTTCTTTGTAGCGTACACTGTCTACTAATCCGGATTTGCATGACTTGTTTATCAAGTTCTCTAGCCAACAAACCAGTACACATACATGTATCCCTACCCCACCCCCCATTTCCACAAAAAAGATATTCAAGATCATTGCTTTAACAACCATTATAATATTGTAATATTTTTCAGCCATGGTAAATTTGAAGCAATACAAAAGGTAGTGTTTACTAGACAACTAAAGTTGTGTTTAGGGGTGAAGAAACCATTAGTTATACATTGTAGAGATGCTGAAGATGATTGTCTTAAAATTATGGAAGAGGTATGTACAGGACCATGTGGAGTCCATAGGACAAGTCAGTGGGATGGGGTGCTAAATTAAGAAAAAAGCGTAGGTTCTTCAAGTACTGTTCAAAGCCCCCCAAAAATTTAGAGAAATAGGTTCAATTTGGTGCATTTCTGAGGTATATTCAAACTTCAATCAAGGTACAATTCCCAGCCAGTCTTCTTTTTTAAAGACAGTGACTAATGTATGAATGATCTCATATTTCCCAACAAACTGGCAGGACTATAAACCAAAAGATGACTACCAGCAGAGTTCAAGCCAAAGTCAAAATTACCCACGGAACTCTTTTTGCTGTAAAAGGGGCCCTATCAAATGCAATATCAGATACAGATATCAGTTGATATTCATATTGGAGATTAAACTTTTGACAGTTTTCAAGGGATACCTTTAGCGCTAAATGATGCATCGGTCATTTCAATCATCATACCTTTCAGTTCCCCATCTTTATATTATTTAAAACAAGAAATAAGCTTTTCACAAACCTCTGGGTGTTTAGCAGTTCTGTTTTTGAGCCCAGTTCTTTTTCATCCGGGACTCTGTGTGTCTATCGCTCACCGATTAATGACAATACATTAAAGATCCCCTGAGAGTTGAAAATAAGAATAGTTTGTAGCACTGTCCAGGCAAACTTTCCCTCATAGCACTCTGCATGGAGTATGTAGATCTTCATTAGCCTGGTTGGTGCCAAAAATTTAATCGTTAATTTCATTTTGTTTTCGTTGAGTATAATATTTATGTCTGCGTGTTCTGAATTAAATAACTGCAATATTAAATTATATTTGTTTTCAGATAATACCCAAAAACTACAAGATACACTGTCATTGTTTTACTGGTTCATATGAACAAGCGAAAAGATGGTTGGAAATGTTTCCTAATTTATACCTTGGTATAACTCCGGTTGTTACATATTCCTCAGCTACAGCTAGTCATGACTTAGCTCGAAAAATACCACTTAACCGTCTACTCCTTGAAACCGACTCTCCATATTTTGTCCCAAGAAACGTAAGTAGAGAATATAGTCTTATTAAATACAAAATGTTCAAGAATGTTTAAAGTAGCTAAGTCTCTAACTCAATATCATCTAGAAGCACGGTTTAAAGTAGCTTAGTCTCTAACTCAATATCATCCAAAATCTTCAACATTGAAAACACAAATTATTTGTCAATTTAAATCAACATTGATGCTGTGATCTTACCGGAAAAAGATGGGCTTCTGATATCCAATATTTAAGACAAAATAAACATTTTACCATTGGTACACGAATCGTGTACCATAATGCGTTTCAGCCCCCGTTCTAGCAAGAGACTCGAGGAACGAGGCTAGACATATTGCACCAAACCAAACGGCGTATGTAGACTGGAATAACCGGGCGCTAGAAATTTGCATTCGATTGAGACTGCTGGCTTATTTCTCGGAACATAACTGATTTGAAATTAGAGTAAAAACGGAAACCATTGAATGTATATCAGTTTATATACATTCATATTACAGTATTATATGAGTTCCGACCCACTTGTGTCAATTTCTAGGTCCCAAATGTTAGCGATTTAGCTCCTTTAATTAACCGGAGCACTCAGTTCTTTGGCAAGGTCAAAAAGTAATAAAATTTTGTCCTTAGTTTTGACTGCAAACCAATGCTCATTGACATACATTTTGAAACAAGGATTTAATAATATAGCACAGGATGGCATCCGACTGTGTTAGTGGAGATTAATCTCTCTCTCTCTTTCTTTTTCCTCTCTCTCAGATTGGTCAATGGTGTATAAAAAAGAATCCCATTGAATTGCAGAATTTTCTGATTATAAATTTAGAACACATTCCTCATTGTCATATTTATAATTTTCATGAATGTGATGTTAGTGATATACAAGGTTCAAGGTGGAATTTTTGAAAACTTGAGAGTGTGGGATTTATTGAGCGCATTAGGAGGAATTCTGTCTATATTAAGAATATTTTAACCATAATCTTCAGAGGAGCTGCATTTGCTCAGTAAATATAAATATGTTGGCTCGCTAACCTGGAGGTCCAGTGTTTGATTCCTGAGTTGGCCGAGGAAGTTCATCAGGATTTTCCGACATAGTTCCCCCTTGTCAGTGGTGCAGGACAGAGGAGAGGGTCTTGCAAGAGACAATGTATGTTTGGATGGGTAAAAAAACTGAGGTCCCATGTACACAATAGTGTGCACATAAAAGATCCCTTGTCAGTTAGAATTTAATATAAGAGTAGGTCGTGGCCAAACTGTCCTGGCAAAATTTCCTTTAAAGCACACTGTATGGCATATACCCAACTTCATTAACCCAGTCAGAGCAGAACAGTAGGACTTTCAACCCCATTTTATTTCATTTATATTCCACTATATGACTAGCAGTAAATTATATGATTCCATATGACTCTACACATCGTAGAATTATTAGTTATTAGAGGGAGGGAGATAATTGGGTGCAATTCAACTGTAATGTTCATAGTTATCTCGCCCCATTTATGTTTTGACTGTAAATATTGTCAACAGTTGGTATAAATCTGCCAGTTGGTAAATTATTTATATTAATTATTTATTATTTTTAGTTAAATAAAGATGAACACAAAGTATCATTACCTGGATTTGCTATAGTTGTAGCAGAAGAAGTAGCCAGATATCAAGATATTACAGTTGAACAAGTTCTCATACATTGTAGACAAAATACTAAAACATTGTTTGGAATTTGAACCATTTAATTGAGAATGTATCCTTATTCATAAATTAGTATTTCAACCATAAAAATTTCCATAGCGAAGTTCATAGTGCTACACTAAATGTTGTAAATTCTAGTCTCATGAAGTTATTCAATATATGTAACCAGTGACGACAAACTGAGTTAGAAGTCAAATTGAATAAAAATGTCAAATACATATTTTTTGCCTTATTTATAAAATGTAAACTTTGACTTTCACGTTATGCTGTTAAAATTGTATTGAAACATTTGTTTAACATATTTTTATTCTGATGGTAAAACAATGACTTGCGACTTCTGATCCATTTTGATGTCATGTGTCACATATTATTATGATTTGAAAACTTAAAATGTGAACAGTTTCGCGCTTCTGGAGGAAACAAATTTATATCATTATGTCTTCCAGAGTGGTTGGCGAATTTTGACTGATACTGATATTAATTAAAGATGTGCTAGCAGGCACGTCTCGAGGATGGGGTCCACAGAGCATATTTTCTTCTACATTCATCTAAAAATATGTTAAGCAAATATGTAAAGCATTGCCGTCACTCTAATCTATATACATGTATGTACCTAACTGAGCAGAAATCTTGTTTCGGAGCATCCGATTTTATAAAATGCTTGGATAATCCTCCCCAGACCTCACACCAGGACCCTCCCCTTGCTCGTTTATTTAGTTGATGATACTTGTAATGTATTGTGACATGATGAGAAACATAGACTTGTAGTATATTGACTTTATATCCTGGGGGTCAGAATATTTTAATGAAGGATTCCAGTAGGGCTCTTGTTAGTCATATTTACTAGTCTTGACTGATGGCATGAAATCGATTGGCTGGAGAATTTGCCTATCAATTTACATGAAATTAGAATTTTAAAGAATTTAATAAGAAAATGTAATAAAATCCCTTACATTTATAGCTTTTATCTATATATATATTAAAAAGATTGGGATAATGCTAAAAGTTGTATTTTTTATACGCCCACATTTTCATGTGGACGTATTATGCCGTCGCCCCTGTCCGTCCGGACATCCGTCCGTCCACAATTTGTTTGTGGACACTCTACAGGTCACAATTCTTATCCGATTTTAACGAAAATTGAAATATAGGTGTATCTCCAAAAGATCTCGGCTGCTTTCGATATTGGCATGTATCGGATCGAAACTTCATGGATTATGGCCCCTGTTTGTACGAAAAATCACGTTTTTGGCTTGTGGACCCTATAGAGGTCACAATTTTTATCCGACTATGTTGAAACTTGAAATGTAAGTTTATAACCCAAAGATCTCGATTCCTTTCGATATTCGCGCATATCGGACTGTAACTTCCTGAATTATGGCCCCTGATTGTACAAAAAATCACGTTTTTAGCTTGTGGACCCTATAGAGGTCAAAATTTTTATCCGATATAAAAAAAACGTATTATTATATCACTGTTACACCATAAGGATGAGTGAGTTCGAATTTCGTGAAAATCGGCCCAAAATTGACAGACAAAATGGCCGCCGTTCGTTCTCAAATAGCATAAAAATATGGTATATCAAGGTTGTGGACCCTATAGAGGTCACAATTTTTATCCGATTTTGTTGAAACTTGAAATGTAAGTTTATAACCCAAAGATCTCGGTTCCTTTCGATATTTGCGCATATCGGACTGTAACTTCCTGAATTATGGCCCCTGATTGTTTTTAGCTTGTGGACCCTATAGAGATCAACCGTTTTTTACAAAATTTAAAAAAACGTATAATTATATCACTGTTACACCATAAGGCGACTGAGTTTGAATTTCGTGAAAATTGACAGACAAAATGGCCGCCGTTCGTTCTCAAATAGCGTAAAAATATGGTATATCAAGGATGTGGACCCTATAGAGGTCACAATTTTTATCCGATTTTGTTGAAACTTGAAATGTAAGTTTATAACCCAAAGATCTCGGTTCCTTTCGATATTCGCGCATATCGGACCGTAACTTCCTGAATTATGGCATGTGATTGTACGAAAAATCGTGTTTTTAGCTTGTGGACCTATAGAGGTCATAACTTTTGTCTGATTTAAAAAAACGTATTATTATATCACCGTTACACCCTAAGGACAACTGAGTTTGAATTTCGTGAAAATCGGCCCAAAATTGACAGACAAAATGGCTGCCCTTCGTTCTCAAATAGCGTAAAAATTGGGTATTTCAAGGTTGTGGACCCTATATAGGTCACAATTTTTATCCGATTTTGTTGAAACTTGAAATGTAAGTTTACAACCCAAAGATCTCGGTTCCTTACGATATTCGCGCATATCGGACCGTAACTTCCTGAATTATGGCCCCTGATTGTACGAAAAATCGCGTTTTTAGCTTGTGGACCCCTATAGAGGTCATAATTTTTATCCGATTTAAAAAAACGTATTATTATATCACCGTTACACCATAAGGACGACTGAGTTCGAATTTCATTGAAACTTGAAATGTAAGTTTATAACCCAAAGATCTCGGTTCCTTTCGATATTCGCGCATATCGGACCGTAACTTTCTGAATTATGGCCCGTGATTGTACGAAAAATCACGTTTTTAGCTTGTGGACCTATAGAGGTCATAATTTTTATCCGATTTAAAAAACATATTATTATATCGCCGTTACACCATAAGGACGACTGAGTTCTAATTTCGTGAAAATCGGCCCAAAACTGACAGACAAAATGGCCGCCCCTCTTTCTCAAATAGCTTAAAAATATGGTATATCAAGGTTGTGGACCCTATAGAGGTCACAATTTTTATCCGATTTTGTTGAAACTTGAAATGTAAGTTTATAACCCAAAGATTTCAGTTCCTTTTGATATTTGCGCATATTGGACTGTAACTTCCTGAATTATGGCCCCTGATTGTACAAAAAATCACGTTTTTAGCTTGTAATTTCCTGAATTATGGCCGTTGATTGTAGGAAAAATCACTTTCTTTTTAGCTTGTTCTCTATCCATCTCTCGAAAATGTGGGCGTATTCTGCCTGGCAGCCGCTGGTTTTTTTAAAATATGTAAACAAAAAACAGTCCGACTAGCAAAATGATGAAGTGAAATGTTTAGATATGGATATATATATATATACTATAACATTATAAAGCTCTTTTCCGGGTCATTTTGGTTAGTATATCTCAAGCTGGCATTAAAATTAAGCTTCTTATGGTATATTTCAAACTGGCATTAAAATTAAGCTTGTTACTTGGAAATGAAAAACGTAAGAAAAAGGGAAATATTAAAAAAAAAATTATATGAGTAGCCAATAGGTTCAGTTTTAATATAAATTTATGTTAATAGTGAGTTTGTTTATTACATGTTGACTTAAGTCTGTTTTTAGTCATTACAGAAAGTTTATTACATGACATGTGACCCTTGATAACAAAATAAATCGGAAGTTAAAGTAGCTAAGTCTCTAATTCAATATCATCCAAAATCTTCAACATTGAAAACATAAATTATTTGTCAATTTAAATCAACATTGATGCTGTGATCTTACCGGAAAAAGATGGGCTTTTGATATCCAATATTTAAGACAAAATAAACATTTTACCATTGGTACACGAATCGTGTACCATAATGCGTTTCAGCCCCAGTTCTAGCAAGAGACTCGAGGAACGAGGCTAAACATATTGCACCAAACCAAACGGCGTATGTAGACTGGAATAACCAGGCGCTAGAATTTTGCATTCGATTGAGACTGCTGGCTTATTTCGCGGAACATAACTGATTTGAAATTAGAGTAAAAACGGAAACCATTGAATGTATATCAGTTTATATACATCCATATTACAGTATTATATGAGTTCCGACCCACTTGTGTCAATTTCTAGGTCCCAAATGTTAGCGATTTAGCTCCTTTAAAGTCTTTTAGGATATGAATAAAAATGTTATAGGCTAAAATACCTTTTTTAAAAAAATGATATAACACGAAAGATAAAAGGTAAGATTTGTCAAAAAATGAAAACTGAATTTTTTTTTATATTTTCAGCCTATTTAGACATTTGTATTCATATTCATAGACAATGACTTGCGACTTCGGACTCATTTTGCTGTCATGGGTCAGATCTTGCTTTCCTTACATTCTGCCTTATACATTTAAAACATGTTCTGATATGTTCTTGTTGAAGAAAATTTATTAAAGTATTGTACAAGTGAATTATTGGATGACAGTGGGCATTGTATATGGAGTTGTTTTTACCTTGGGTTCAACTTCTTGTGGATTTTCCCATCTGGTTGCCCATTGTCAATCATACAGAATGGTACGAAAACCATCTGTATGAGATTTATGTGCATCGTTTAAGTTAGTGAAACGAAGAAGCCTATTGAATTTGAGCAATTTCCATTATTTACGTCTAGAGTTATGGTCCTTGTTTCACTTTATTGAACCTTGTTAACGTTTGAATGACAAAAGTTATCATCTGTCCATCCATCTGTCTGTCATTTACATTATTGAAACAAAGAAACCTATTGAATTTCAACCATTTCCGTTCATTTCTTCAAGAGTTATCACCCTTGTTTAACTTTGTTGAACCTTGTGAACTCTCGAATGAAGAAAGGTATCAACCGATCTGTGTGAAATTTATATGCACCATTTAAATTAGTGAAACAAAGAAACCTATTGAATTTCAGCAATTTCCAATAATTACTTTTTCGAGTAATAGGCCTTGGTTTATCTGATCTATATGAAATTTATATGTATTATGAGAAAATTTCTAGGTCCTGTTAAAATTCAGTTCTTTAAAACTGAATATTTTCTTTTATGGTCTGTTAAGGCTTCCATAGTTTGAACTTTAAAGCTAGTTATTCAATAGTATTTCCGGGTTAGGTGTGTGCTATAATTAAATAGTGGAAATCCCAACATTAAATTTAGCATTTTCATTACAGTTTTGTTGAAAATTATTAAAATGGACATTTTGTGCAGAAATTGTCCCTTTTAAAATCGTGAGATATACCTTCTTTGGGGTTGTGAAACTAATTCCATTGGCAATATATCGACTATTGGTGTTTCTTAATTATAGTGTGGTAAGTAAGTAATAGTTTCTATTTAGACTTAAAGGGGAAATCAAAGCATTTATGAATATTGATCTGCTTCTTAGTTTTGTCGGGTGCCTAATTAATTCACCCTAGGGTCGCTGTTAATTGTACGACAAGGACGTCGTAAACAGCTGAAGTGGGATGGGTTGTGTTTTGGACAGGCCAGAGATGTCTGAATGTTTCCCGGGTATAATTGGGCGATTGGACTATATTGTCTTTAAATTTTTGGATTTATTATTTATTTATGAAATATTTTTTTACAGCTTAACCAATGAGAACAGAAATGGCAAATGACTTGGATATCGATGCTATTGGATTCCGCGAACGAATTGAACATTTTGATGCTGCCCTTGTATTTAATGACCATGAGGATTCTGAATTGGCAGAGAAATATATGAATATGATGAATGCTATCGAGCTGGACAATGGTCAGAAAATTAAAGTGTGCTTATATACTGCTCCTAATTTTAAAGCTGAAGCTGCTGAAACAGCAACTGATGTAGTTCAATATTGTACCCACATATTTTGTGTTCTTACAAAAAATTTCCCTAGTTGCCTGGCAAATCAACTCATCAAAGAAGAGGCTATCGGTTTAACACGACTTGCAGTGAATGGAGAAGAGGGTTGCCCTGGTCTTTCAGGTCGAAGATACTGTGTTCGACCTCTCCACACTTTATCACCAGATATGAGAGATTACAAAATACCCCCTGGTCTTTCAACTATTCGAGGTATTGATATGTCCAACGAAAATAGATCAAAGAAAGAGCTAAAGCAATTATTTGAATACAATCTTCACTTGCGTCTGCAGCGGGAGCACCTTGCAAGATATACACCTGTAGTAAACATCTATGATCAGAAACCAGTGACATATTTTCAACACCCAAACACATCTAAAGCATCCGGAGAATTGCTATCCACAGTAGATGTTTCGACAGAATCGTTAAATCGCATATCTGGTGTGGCAAATAAGGACACTCTTCCTAATGGACAAAGCTACCACCATGATGTGGTAAATAATGATTCGACTCAAACTAGCGATAGCACAGTATATGATATTGATTTATCATCTGAGAATCGTTCAGTGGCTGCTTCGATTAACAATGATGCAACACAGAATGGTGCCCAAACTCCATTATCTATAGATGCAGGATCACCCGATTCACTTAACAGAACTGCTCCTGGGGGAGGAGATGAAACCCAGGTCAAAAAGCTTTCTGTTCCAGTGAAAACTAGCTCAAGCGACCATTTACAACATACCATAGATATCCTTAAGGATACTGGAATGGGTGAACATTTTATGGAGTACACTAGTGGTCTGCCTAGTGTTAGACTGGAAGGTTTCAACCACATTTCAAGACCAGTAAACAATGAAACTAATGGGACTGGGAGAGATGCAAAAAAATATATCAATAAGTCTCCTAATGGTGCAATTCACTTTATAAACTGCTCAAATATTCAAATAGGAGAAAGAGGAAACTGGAACATCGATAAACCAAATACCGTTTACAGTGGGTAAGTATATTATTATTGAAGAATTTTTGTTTTAAAAAAGGGAAAAAATGGTTATTTTGATGATATACATGTGAAATATACAATTTTTCCTTTGTTTTACTCTTCACTTTAACAATTTTTAAAGAGAAATGAAATTATTTTTAAAATAAAGTATGTTATTAGAATATACCCATTATTTTATTTCAGTACCGGGCAGAATCAGCCAACACCAACCAATGAAATTGTAACCAGCGATTCGGAAGATAGTGATGACGACTCTGAGTATGAAATGGGATCTGTATTGGGCTATGGTACTTCACCTGGTACCAAGAACCAGTCGTCCAGTAAACCTATGGAAGATCTGGCTGGAACCCAGAATGACCTGAACATAACATCAGATAAACTGTGGAATAGAGATTCATGTGAAAATACAGAGGTTAAACAGCTGGTTGAAACTGGTCCGGGCCCTGAACTACCATCTAAATCTTTTAGTAACGATAACCAAGCCGTCTCGAGCAACCAGGAAGGTCTTGGTGATAATTTCCTAAATGTGATGAACATACTTGACCAATCAGATGTAGACAATTTGTCACTGTCCTCATTCAATCAAAATCTGGACAACCTGCTCATTCCTCAACCTACACAAGATGCAACACCTGAAGTATGCGATGAACATATCCGTGCATGTTTAGGAAGTACAGGTATTGTACATTTTGTTTTCTGATTCCCAAATAAACTAACCATTGAACTTTATGGGGATCACGTGGCTAAGTGGGTAGATGCTTCCTCGCTAGCCTGGAAGTCGGGTGTTCGATCCCTGCATTGGCCGAGAAAGTTCATCCAGATTTTCCGGCATGGTTCCCCCTTGTCAATGATGCAAGACGGAGGGCCTGACAAGGACAGCTGTCTAGTCGTTCGGATGGGATGGAAAACCGAGGTACCGTGTACACATTGGCGTGCACGTAAAAGATCCTTGACAGTTGGAATTCGATATAAGAGTAGGCCGTAGTGCCGCTGTCCGGGCAAAATTTCCCTCATAGCACACTGCATGGTGTATGCCTGTCGTCATTAGCCCAGTTCGGAGCAAAACAGTAGGATGTTAAACCCCATTTCATTTCCGTTGAACTTTAGAAAGGGGTATCTTCACTTAAAAAAGGAAATATATGTTATTTATTTTATGATATTAAAATTAACCTTAGCTTTATCAAATTTATCAAACATTTTGCACGAGCTTTTGCTTTTGCTGAACTCATTCAAAGCCATCGGAGGGTTTATTGAATTTTAAGTCATCTATATATCTAACCAATAAATTGGTTTATTCTTTTAAGCAATTTGATACCACCAAATTTCACAATACCTAGTGTAACGTATTGGCAGTGTTCCCTCTTAATTATTAATAGTCGGTAGGCACAAAAGCCACATGGTATGCAAATCTCATTCCTTTGACAATAGAATGTTTCAAGATAATATTGACCCAATTTAATTTAATTTACATATTTATTATACACTTGATATATATATTTCTAGGTGTAATAGAAAATCTGGTTCTTGATGATAATGTTAATTCCAACTCCTTACACAGTATTTGGCAGCAACTCCGTTCTCAGCCAAGATCCGTATCTTTTCATAATATTGCTCAACTAATTGGTCTGCAACCTACTGATACAGAAACAAATCGAGATGTAGAAGAGACCGATTAAGAATAATTGTAGCCCAAAATGGAAATTTCTTGGATTTTGATTGGTCGAAAAGTGGCGTCGAATGAGTATAACAGTCCTCAAATTTCCTGGGCGACTCACTGCGATTGAATATTTTCTGGGTGCTAGACTCTGTTTGCAGTGGCCCAAAATTCTACACCTCAAAACTTTATTCTAGGAAATCTTCATGTATTTTTTCTTGTATGTCGTCAAGAATGAAATTCAACCATTGGCTATTGAAACACACACCTGAAACACAAAAAACAAAGATAGTGAGTGTATTTGAAACATAATGGGTAAATTTTATTTCAAGGCTGGTCTGACCATAATGGTTGCTATGGTCATTCTATCATAATCAGACTGGTCAAAATCGAAGATTTTCAACAAGTCAATAAAAATACTACAATTTATTGAACTCTGTATGGATCGTAAATAACTGATTGGGATATGTTTTAAAAAATATACAAGTCGGGCTAACACTGATATGAATAGGACAGAGACTAATTTTCATACACAGGCCAGGGTTTTTTGCGAAGAAAAAAAATCACAGCGTCGAAATGACAATGTAAACAAGCATAGTAACCACGCGCGTACGCTACACAGCATATATCTACACGGTCACACAAGTGTATGGACATTTATCAAACATGATGTGCAATTTATTTCAAACCTAGTCACTGCGCTGGAGTTCAAAATCATTTAAAAAGTACATGAAATACACTTAAAATTTCTGTTTCGATCTTTAAAATTATTGCAGAGTGACCTCCCTTTCCAAACAGACACAATTAACCAGTCGCTTAGTGAACCAAATAGAATGGAAATGAGTGTTATTTATTACGTCACGGATATTTTCACTACGTCAAAATTGTTTTCCTTGGTATTTACGTCATTAAAACCAAAAACGACCGTCAACTATCGCGAAAAAAAGAATTCCAAGAAAAATGTTAAATTTTTTGGGCTACAATATCGATAAACACCTCCTGTTAAGAATTTAGAGGACTGCTATTGTACATTTGATACCGCTTTGATACACAACTTTAAACACTTATAATTTTGCACCGAATAAAGTAATTGTAATTTGACTGAAATTTTCCATAAATTAACATTTCGTTATCTATTTTTGAACTATTATAGTAAGAATGGTCAGGTCTAATTTTACATAATGCATCTATCTATAAGAGGAAATGACAATATAGAAGAACAATTGGGAAATATTTATTCCTTGCGTTTTTATAGGAAAGCTGTCTATGAAGGAATCTCTTTTACTGTGTGTTCATTATGTAATGAAAGAAACTGCACACTATGTGACCTAAACGATATTGAAGATGATTTTCATTTTTATACACCCACATTTTCATGTGGACGTATATTGTCGTCGCTCCTGTCCGTCCATCCACAATTGTTTGTGAACAGTCTACAGGTCACAATTTTTATCCGATTTCAATGAAACTTGAAATATAGGTTTATCACCCTACATTGGCCTGTATCGAACTGTAACTTCATGGATTATGGACCCTGATTGTACGAAAAATCACGTTTTTAGCTTGTGAACACTGTAGAGGTCGCAATTTTTATCCGATTTGGTTTAAACTTGAAATATATGTTAAACCCAAAGATCTCGGTTCCTGTTATCGGACGATAACTTCCTGAATTATGGCCCCTGATTGTACGAAAAATCACGTTTTTAGCTTGTGGACCCCATAGAGGTCACAATTTTTATCCGTTGAATATATCACTGTTACACCCTAAGGATGGTTGAGTTCGAATTTCGTAAAAATCGGACCGAAACTGCCAGACAAAATAGCCGCCCCTCGTTCGCAAATAGTGTCAAAATATTGTGTATCTGGGTTGTCGACCCTCTGGAGGTCACAATTGTCATCTGATTTTGATGAAACTTGAAATGCATGTTTATAACCCAAATATCTTGGTTCCTTTTCATTTTCGTACATATTGTATCGTAACTTCCTGAATTATGGGCCCTGATTGTACGAAAAATCGCGTTTTTTATCTGATTTAAATATATCACTATTACACACTAACATCTTGGATTCTTTTGATAAATGTGGATACCCAAACTTAACTTTGTGGATTATGGCCCCTGATTGTTCAAAAAATCGCATTTTTAGCTTGCGGATTCTCTAGAGGTCACAATTTTTTCCGATTTTAAAAACTGTATAAATACATCACCATTCCACCATAATGAAGGTTGAATTCGAATTTCGGAAAAATTGAAATGAAACTGCCCGATAAAATGGACGCTCTTTGTACGCAAATTGTGTAGAAGTGTGTAATACAAAGGTTGTGACCCTCTAGAGGTCACAATTTTTATCCGATTTGATGAAACTTAAAACATATCTTTATATCCCAAAGATCTCGGTCCCTTTTGATATTTGCACATTTCAGGCCATAACTTTCTGCATTATTGCCCCTGATTGTACAAAAAATAGCATTTGTTTTTAGCTTGTTCTCTATCCATCTCTTGGAAAATGTGGGTGTATCCTGTCTAGCAGCCGCTGGTTATAATTTAATGTAGTGTAGGCCAGTGGTTCCCAGCATGTTGGGACCCTTTGGGACATTTTACAAACCCCCGAGTACCCCCACCCCACATCTGCAATATTACTCTGTTCAGTGAATACTTTTCATATATTATTATATCTTTCATAAACCCTAATTCAGAACAGCAGAGTTATTTTATTTCAAAAACTGTGACAGACAGGCGGATACAGGGACAAAAATACGAAACTATTTTAAATGGTTTAATTGATATTTAGTAATTTAAACTTGATATTGGAATGAGTGACGTTTGCTTGATGAAGACTTGAGAAGTTGAAACGTCGCTCACTATAAAGACTTAGTGGTGTTCTATGTTAAATGCCCTGCTTCCTCCGAAATTGTGTACATGTATATATATATTGAGTAGATAGATGCGATTAGTCGATCAATATGGTTACAAGTTGCACCTAGTTATTTTAATAAGGCGCAATATAGCCCCGTCTCTGTTGACGTGTTATAAAATTTTATTCATTCATTTTATTATTATTTTATTGATAATTTGTTGGTTGGTTTTTTTTTTCTTATATGATGTAATAAACTATATGTTTTATAAATTATGTCTTATTTTGGTTTAAGGGATGAACGTATGTAATTATTGGTCCAATTAACAGTAATTAATACAGTTTGATACACATGGCTGTGACAAGAGATATGTATACCAAACTGTTGCATATTTAGCACTGACCTAAATAGACCGGAAACGATAATAATATTAAAACTTATCGAAACACACACTGATCAAGAATATTTTACAAAGAAAGGGAGGGGGACAATTCCAGTACCCACCATACATTTTATACATCTGATAGAATTGGTTTGAAAAGGTGGGACAATTTATTAGTCTCTATCATCCAGAAAAATATTGTACGTTGAAGACTAGGAGGTTTTGGGTGACCGAGACTAAAAATTTAATGGTTTTACCGGTATTCTTTGAATGGCATTTAGTAATTGGAATATAAACGAATAACACACTATGGATAACAATTACTATGGTTTATTTCACTGCGACTTTTCAACAAGATTTCACAATTCGTTATCAAGCATATAACACAAATAAATAAAATGAAAATAATATGGTTATAGTAATTGTTATCCATAAATAGTGTGTTATTCGATGGTTTTATTGGCATTTACTTCGTTTTTACGTCGTGGTGAAATGAAATGAAATGAAATGGGGTTTAGCGTCCTACTGTTTGCCCCGAACTGTACTAATGAAAACGGGCATACGCCATACAGTGTGCTATGAGGAAAATTTTGCCCAGACAGCGGCACTACAACCTACTCTTATATTGAGTTACAACTGTCAAGGGATCTTTTACATGCATGCTAATGTGTACACGGGACCTCGGTTTTTCGTCCCATCTGAACAAAGCCCTCCGTCCTGCATTGCTGACAAGGAAGAACCACGCTGGAAAATCTGGGTGAACACTCGACCTACGGGGGGTTGGATGGCCGAATGGGTAGCATATGCGCGCTGTATCATAAGGCCTGTCATTGAGTCAACTGGCGTGGTTTCGAAGCCCTGGTTGTACGTGACAAGGAGTAGGGTCGCCTGTCTAACCTCGTGGGTTTTCTCCAGTTTCCTCCCACTGCTAAAGATCCCTATGCATGTTTATAACCTAAAGATCATGGTTCCTTTCAATATTTGTGAATATCGGATAGTAACTTCCTGAATTATGGCCCCTGATTGTACGCAAAATCGCCTTTTATGGTAAATAAAGGTTGTGGACCCTGTATAATTCACAATTTTAATTCGATTTTGATGAAACTTGAAATGCATGTTTATAACCTAAAGATCATGGTTCCTTTCGATATTTGTGAATATCTGATAGTAACTTCCTGAATTATGGCCTCTGATTGTACGCAAAATCGCCTTTTATGGTAAATAAAGGTTGTGGACCCTGTATAGGTCACAATTTTAATTCGATTTTGATGAAACTTGAAAAGCATGTTTATAACCTAAAGATCATGGTTCCTTTCGATATTTGCGCATATCGGATAGTAACTTCCTGAAATATGGCCCCTGATTGTACACAAAATCGCCTTTTTTAGCTTGTGTTCCCTCTGGGGGTCACAATTATTATCCGATTAAAATAACCGTTTGATTATATCACTGTTACACCGTAAGGAAGGTTGAGTTTGAATTTCCTGAAAATTGCCGGACAAAATGGCCGCCGCTTGTACGCGAATAGTGTAAAAATATGGTATATCAAGGTTGTGGACCCTGTAGAGGTTACAATTTTAATCCGATTTTAATGAAACTTAAAATGCATGTTTATAACCTAAAGATCTTGGTTCCTTTCGATATTGTCGCATATCGGATTGTAACTTCCTGAAATATGGCCCCTGATTATACGGAAAAAATTGCCTTTTTTAGCTTGTGGTCCCTTCGAAGGTCCCAGTTATTATCTGATTTTAAAAATCGTTTGAATATATCACCGTAACACCATAATGAAGGTTGAGTTCAAATTTCCTGAAAATCAAACCAAAACTGCCGGACAAAATGGCCACCACTTGTACGCGAAAGGTGTAAAAATATGGTATATCTAGGTTGTGGACCCTGTAGAGGTCACAATTTTAATCCAATTTTGATGAAACTCGAAATGCATGTTTATAATCCAAAGATCTTGGTTCCTTGCGATATTTGCGCATATCAAATTGTAAATTCTTGAATTATGGCCCTTGATTGTAGGAAAAATCACTTTCTTTTTAGCTTGTTCTCTATCCATCTCTCGAAAATGTGGGCTTATCCTGCCTGGCAGCTGTGGTTAAGATAATTAATGAATCACAAATATAATAACAATGCATTTAATGTTTTGGGGGGGGGGGGGTTGCAGTCCTTTTCCCTGAAATTGCGTCTCTATATCCCCGTAGCCTACAGGAGTCTTAATATTCGTTATGAAACTTTATATAAAAATATTACATAAATAATGTATATGGCGGTAATAACAAATAGATTTCAAATTGTAGACTTTTTTGTCCTTTTGTTTTTTGGAGGGGGGGGGGGGTATCGTTCTTTAATTTCGTCAAAATTTAAATGTTTTTATTGAATTCTTAGACACACTTGATGTCATCTGTTTGAACACAGCATGTGAAGAGTTTCTTTAAGTTTTAAGCCGCTTTCCTTCTCCATCGTCGTAATCTGGATTCTTTAGGTTTTGTTGGTGAGGTAGGAGTTAAATCTAAAACTATTAATAAATATAACATTTAAATTTTCATGTCAGGAAACAGAAGTTGTTAAATTGTCAAAGAATTAGCTGAAAGCACAGTGAGCAAAGTGCTGGCTCACTATAGCCATAAGGTCATGGGTTCTATCCCGTTGTTGACCGAGAAAGTTCCCCTGGATTATCCTGTCTGGTTTTACATTCTCAGTGGTACATGAACAGTGTCTAGTCGTTTGGATGGGACGAAAAAGCGAGGTCTCGTTTACACGTACATTGGTGTGCATGTAAAAGAACCCTTGGCAGTTGGAATTCGAAATAAGAGTAGGCCATAGTGCCGCTGTCAGGGAAAAATTTCCCTCATAGCACAGTGTCGTACGTAACTAACATACGAAAATTAAATGGTAGCTGGCTTTTTTTTTTTTCGCACGTATACATAGTGAATGGCCATTTTGCTCAGTAATCCCAGCCAGAATTTGGCTATTTTTTTAAAATTGCGTTAAAGTTTTAAATTTTTGTTTAGAACTGAAATAAATTAACTTTTAGTCAATCCCCACGCTAAAAACATTAACAGAATTGATTGTGTATATCTGAAATAGACACGACCGAAGCACAAAATAGTGCCAATATGCCGCGTCAGATCTAGAGTTGTAGATGATGTTATTTTTGTGAAAAATCATTGGAAGAAGCGATAAGACGTTGCGTACGGATTATACAGTCCTAAAGGCTGCAAGAAGGCTATTGTTTACAATGTAAGGTTGTAATGTTGATAATGATCATAATGATGGTGTTTACATTTGTTTGTTGATGTGACCTCATGACCTGTGACGTTTAGATAACGTCATATGGATATCATGGCTATTCACTGTGTCAGAGTCACTTCTCTGCAGGTAGGGTGAGTCTGTCGTTCAGATTGAGCAGAGTATGGCTTATGCACGTCTTCATCATCCCTGTCAGTGTAGAAAAGTAGGACTAAGATAAAGAAGAGAGAAATGGGGTTTAACGTCAACTCGACACAAACTAGGTCCTTTCGGTACTAACATATGGTTTAATTTTATTTCAATAATTCGCCTGTGAAATTGATTGGCTGGACAATTTGCCTATCAATTTACATGAAATTAGAATTTTAAAGAATTTAATAAGAAAATGTAATAAAATCCCTTACATTTATAGCTTTTATCTATCTATATTAAAAAAAAATATCTATCTTTTTTGGAAAAAAATATGTAAACAAAAACTCTCCGACTAGCAAAATGATGAAGTGAAATACACATTTTGATATTGAAATGGTGAAATGTTTAGGTAAGGATATATATATGCTATAACGTTTCAAAGCTCTTTTCGGGGTCATTTTGGTTAGTATATCTCAAGCTGGCATTAAAATTAAGCTTGTTACTCGGAAATGAAAAAAAAAAAAAAAGAAATAGGGAAGTTTATATTACAAATAATTTTGTATGAGTGGCCAATAAGTTCAATTTTAATAAGTTTTATGTTAATAGTGAGTTTGTTTATTACATATTGACTTAAGTCTGTATATAGTCATTACAGAAAATTTGCTTACATGACATGTGACCCTTGATAACAAAATAAATCGGAAGTTCAAGTCTTTTAGGATATGAATAAAACTGTTAAAGGCTAAAATACCTTTTTTAAAAAATGATATAACACGAAAGGTAAAAGTTAAGATTTGTCAAAAAAAAGAAAACTAACTTTTATATGCCCCCATTTTCATGTGAACGTATATTGTCGTCGCCCCCGTCCGTCCACAATTGTTTGTGAACACTCTACAGGTCACAATTTTTATTCGATTTCAATGAAACTTGAAATATAGGTTTATCACCCAAAGATCTCTGTCCCTTTCGATATTGGCATGTATCGGACTGTAACTTCATGGATTATAGCCCCTGATTGTACGAAAAATCACGTTTTTAGCTTGTGAACACTGTAGAGGTCACAATTTTTATCCGATTTGGTGTAAACTTGAAATGTATGTTTATAACCCACAGATCTCGGTTCCTTTCGATATTCGCACATATCGACCATAACTTCCTGAATTATGGCCCCTGATCACGTTTTTAGCTTGTGGACCCCATAGAGGTCACAATTTTTATCTGTTTTACAAAACCGTTTGAATATATCACCATTACACCCTAAGGGTGGTTGAGTTTGAATTTCGTAAAAATCATACCGAAACTGACAGACAAAATGGTCGCCCCTCGTTCGCAAATAGTGTCAAAATATTGTGTATCAAAGTTGTGGACCCTCTAGAGGCCACTATATGATCCGATTTTGATGAAACTTGAAATGCAAGTTTATAACCCAAAGATCTTTGTTCCTTTCAATATTCGTGCATATCGAATTTTAACTTCCTGAATTATGGCCTCTGGTTGTACGAAAAATCACGTTTTTAGGTTGTGGTCCCTCTAGAGGTCACAATTATTATTCGATTTAAAAAAACGTTCGAATATATCACCGTTACACCGCAATGTTTATTGATGTCGAATTTCGTGAAAATCGGGCCCAAACTGCTGGACAAAATGGCTGCCCCTCATACGCAAATAGTGTAAACATCTGGTAAATCAAGGTTATGGACCCTCTAGAGGTCACAATTTTGTTCCGATTTTGATGAAAGTTGAAATACATGTTTATAACCCAAAGATCTTGGTTCCTTTCGATATTCACGCGTAGCGGATTTTATCTTCCTGAATTATGGCCCTTGAAGGTACAAACAATCACGTTTTTATCTTGTGGTCCCTCTAGAGGTTACAATTTTTATTCGCTTTAAAAAAACATTCGAATATATCACCGTTACACCATAACTTCTTGGATTATGGCTCCTGATTGTTCGAAAAATCGCATTTTTAGCATGCGGATTCTCTAGAGGTCACAATTTATTTTTTTTTCCGATTTTAAAAAACGTTTAAATATATCACCATTCCACCATAATGAAGGTTGAATTCGAATTTCGGGAAAATCGAATGAAACTGCCGGACAAAATGGCCGCACTTTGTACGCAAATTGTGTAAAAGTATGCTGCAAAGGTTGTGGACCCCCTTAGAGGTCACAATTTTTATCCGATCTTGATGAAACTTAAAACATATCTTTATATCCCAAAGATCTCAGTCCCTTTTGATATTTGGGCATTTCAGACCATAACTTTCTGGATTATTGCCCCTGATTGTACAAAAAATCCTGTTTATTTTTAGCTTATTCTCTAACAATCTCTTGCAAAATGTGGGCATATCCTACCTGGCAGCCGCTGTTTTTTTATATTTTCAGCCAATTTAGACATTTGTATTCATATTCATAGACAATGACTTACGACTTGGGACTCATTTTGCTGTCATGGGTCAGATCTTGCTTTCCTTACATTTTGCCGTATACATTTAAAACATGTTCTGATATGTTCTTGTTGAAGAACATTTATTAAAGTATTGTACAAGTAAATTATTGGATGACAGTGGACATTGTATATGGAGGTGTTTTTACTTTGGGTTCAACTTCTTGTGGATTTTCCCACCCAGTTACCCATTGTCAATCATACAGAATGGTACGAAAACCATCTGTATGAAATTTATGTGCAAGGAAGAAGCCTATTGAATTTGAGCAATTTCCATTAATTACATCTAGAGTTATGGCCCTTGTTTCACTTTATTGAACCTTGTGAAAGTTCGAATGACAAAAGTTATCATCTGATCTATATGAAATTTATATGCATAATTTAAATTAGTGAAACAAAGAATCCTATAGAATTTCAGCATTTTCCGTTAATTTCTTCTTGAGTTATGACCCTTGTTTCCCTTTGTTACACTTTGTGAACGCTCCACCAACAAAAGTTAATATTTGATCTGTATGAAATTTGTATGCATCATTTTAATTATTGAAACAAAGAAGCCTATTGAAATTGAGCAATTTCCGTTAATTTCTTCTAGAGTTATCACCCTTGTTGAACCTTGTGAACTCACGAATGAAGAAAGGTATCATCCGATCTGTCTGAAATTTATTTGCATCATTTAAATCAGTGAAACGAAGAAACCTATTGAATTTCAGCAATTTCCAATAATTACTTTTCGAGTTATGGGCCTTGTTTTATCCGATCTATATGAAATTTATATGCATTATTTAAATGAGTAAAATGAAATTTTGTCGAATTTCAACGGTTTTTGTATATTACTTCCAGAGTAAAGGCTTTTATTTCAGTTTGTAGCACCTTGTGAATCCTCGAAGGACGAAAATTATAAAATGATCTGTATAAAATTGTCTTGTAAATGCCCCCATTACCTACAAAAGACTAAATATGCGACAACCCTTAAAAGGGTTGACCGCTCGGACAATTTAGCTCCTGTGGGCGTATGTTTCGTTGCCTGGCAACCTATCTTTTCATGTGTTCCAAGGTGTGCCGTTGGCAAAAAAGGTTGAGAACCACTGCTGTAGAGGCTAAAGTTAATATCCGATTGACTTTAAATTGATACACTATGGTTACAGGTCATGAGACAAAGAAGTGTATTTCCACGGGAAAAATTTGTCATATTACATGTTTTGCATTTTAAAAGTCAGCATGGGAGAACTAAAAGCCAAAACAATTTTAACGATTTCTGATAATTACTTAATGGGTTGTTAGTCCTAATAAGTTTTTAGTGTCTTGTAAATACTTTCATAAACCGACAACTTGGCTGCTGTGGGTGTATGTTCCATTGCTTGGCAACCTAGCTTTTAGACTCACCTAATTAGTCTCTTGTGAGTCAACTGTGTCTAGTCAATCAGATGGGATGAAAAACTGGGATCCCATGCAAACTTCAAATGAAATAAAATGTGGTCGCATATTGTCTTCGTCACCCCTGTCTGGCTGCCATCCATACTTGCATGTAGATGCTCTAGAGTCTAAAGTGTTTAAGGTCATGAGATAAGGATGCCTTTTAATTTTCAACCATTTCTGTTTATTACTGCCAGAGTTATGGCCCTTGAAATTATACACAGTGTTTAAGGTCATGAGATGAGGAATCCTATTAATTCCAGGTCACTTAAACAGATTAATTACCACCCGAGTAAGTCATTATACTATGAGTGACAATAGACATATGACAAAAAATATCACTGAAAATCGGGTACTAAAATAATAGCATACAGTCTGTAATGCATAACAGTTATACAACACAAATGGGTCTACAAGCGAGTAGTCTGTAATTGCACAACTGGTATTGACCAACAAGTGTACTGGATGGCTGAATGGTTAGCTTGAGTGCGCTGTATCATAAAGTCTGTCATTGAATCAACTGGCGTGGTTTCAATTCCCCGGTTGTACGTGACAAGGAGTAGGGTTGCCTATCCAACCTCGTGGGTTTTTTCTGGGTCCTCCAGTTTCCTCCCACTGCTAAAGACCCCTACGCGCAAGCGAATTATTGAAATAAAATTAAACCATATGTTAGTCCCGAAATGACCTAGTTTGTGTCGAGTGGAGGTTAAACCCCATTTCTCTCTATCTCTCTCTCTCTGTAATGCATAAGTCACACAACACAAATTGACCAACAAGCATATGTTCAGTAATGCATACAATACACAAAACAACTGGGTCAACAAGCATATTGTTTGTAATGCATAAATTACACAACACAAATGGTTCTACAAACTGTGTGTACACTGGTTTTACTGTTCTCTGTAATGAATAATAGACTGGGCCCACCCAAGTTTTTTTTTTTTTTTGGTTTGGTTTGGTTTGTTTTTTATCGGTCAGGTTTTTTTAAAATTTCATTTCCTATTTTCTTTCTGCCCATGAAATAAAGATGTCTATTGGTATATTTTTTTTTCATTTTTAATAACAAAAAAATAAACATAATTATATATAATATAAACTGACCATAATTATTTATGTCATATTGTTATATCATTGTTCAATGTATATTCAATGTTTTTGAAAAATGTTAGGACTTCAGGGCCCTTATTCACGAAAACTGAAACTAAGATACAATCGAAATTTTAAGAAATACTGCAATTCGATTGGCTGACCAGTAAAATCAATTTGCATATATCCAATGAAGTTGCAGTATTTCGGTTGTAACTTAGTTTAAGTTTTCGTGAATAAGGGCCCTGTTCTTTAAAACTGAATATTTTCTATTATGGTCTGTCTAGGCTTCCATAGTTTAAACTTTTAAAGATAGTTATACAATAATATTTCCGGGTTAGGTGTGTGCTATAATTAAATTCCAACATTCATCATTTTCATTAAAGTTTTGTTGAAGACTATTAAAAAATGGACATTTTGTGCAGAAATTGTCCCTTTTAAAATCATGAGATACCTTCTTTGGGGTTGTGAAACTAATTCCATTGGCAATATATCAACTGTTGGTGTTTGTTTACAGTGGGGTAAGTAAGTAATAGTTTCTATTTAGACTTAAAGGGGAAATCAAAGCATTTATGAACATTGATCTGCTTCTTAGTTTTGTCGGGTGCCTAATTAATTCACCCTAGGGTCGCTGTTAATTGTACGACAAGGACGTCGTAAACAGCTGAAGTGGGATGGGTTGTGTTTTGGACAGGCCAGAGATGTCTGAATGTTTCCCGGGTAATTGGGCGATTGGGCTATACTGTCTTTAAATTTTTGGATTTATTATTTATTTATAAAATATTTTTTTACAGCTTAATCAAAAAGAACAGAAATGGCAAATGACTTGGATATCGATGCTATTGGATACCGCGAACGAATTGAACATTTTGATGCTGCCCTTGTATTTAATGACCATGAGGATTCTGAATTGGCAGAGAAATATATGAATATGATGAATGCTATCGAGCTGGACAATGGTCAGAAAATTAAAGTGTGCTTATATACTGCTCCTAATTTTAAAGCTGAAGCTGCTGAAACAGCAACTGATGTAGTTCAATATTGTACCCACATATTTTGTGTTCTTACAAAAAATTTCCCTAGGTGCCTGGCAAATCAACTCGTCAAAGAAGAGGCTATCGGTTTAACACGACTTGCAGTGAATGGAGAAGAGGGTTGCCCTGGTATTTCAGATCGAAGATACTGTGTTCGACCTCTCCACACTTTATCACCAGATATGAGAGATTACAAAATACCCCCTGGTCTTTCAACTATTCGAGGTATTGATATGTCCAACGAAAATAGATCAAAGAAAGAGCTAAAGCAATTATTTGAATACAATCTTCACTTGCGTCTGCAGCGGGAGCACCTTGCAAGATATACACCTGTAGTAAACGTCTATGATCAGAAACCAGTGACATATTTTCAACACCCAAACACATCTAAAGCATCCGGAGAATTGCTATCCACAGTAGATGCTTCGACAGAATCGTTAAATGGCATATCTGGTGTGGCAAATAAGGACACTCTTCCTAATGGACAAAGCTACCACGAAGATGTGGTAAATAATAATTCGACTCAAACCAGCGATAGCACAGTATCTGGTATTGATTTATCATCTGAGAATCGTTCAGTGGCGGCTTCGATTAACAATGATGCAACACAGAATGGTGCCCAAAGTCAATTATCTATAGATGCAGGATCACCCGATTCACTTAACAGAACTGCTCCTGGGGGAGGAGATGAAACCCAGGTCAAAAAGTTTGCTGTTCCAGTGAAAACTAGCTCAAAGGATCATTTGCAACATACCATAGATATCCTTAAGGATACTGGAATGGGTGAACATTTTATGGAGTACACTAGTGGTGTGCCTAGTGTTGGACTGGAAGGTTTCAACCACATTTTAAGACCAGTAAACAATGAAACTAATAGGACTGGAAGAGATGGAAAGAAATATATCAATAAGTCTCCTAATGGTGCAATTCACTTTATAAACTGCTCAAACATTCAGATAGGAGAAGGAGGAAACTGGAACATCGATAAACCAAATACCACTTACTGTGGGTAAGTATATTATCTTTGAAGAATTTTTGTTTTAAAAAAGGGAAAAAAAATGGTTATTTTGATGATATACATGTGAAATATACAATTTTTCCTTTGTTTCACTCTTCACTTTAACAATGAAATTATTTTTAAAATAAATTATGTTATTAGAATATACCCATTGTTTTATTTCAGTACCGGGCAGAATCAGCCAACGGCAACCAATGAAATTGTAGACAGTGATTCGCCTGGTACCAAGAACCAGTCGTCCAGTAAACCTATGGAAGATCTGGCTGGAACCCAGAATGACCTGAACATGACATCAGATAAACTGTGGAATAGAGATTCATATGAAAATACAGAAGTTAAACAGCTGGTTAAAACAGGTCCGGGCCCTGAACTACCATCTAAATCTTTTAGTAACAATAACCAAGCCATCTCAAACGACCAGGAAGGTTTTGGTGACAATGCCCTAAACGTGATGAACATATCTGACCAATCAGATATTGGCAATTTGTCACTGTCCTCATTCGATCAAAATCAGGACAACCAGCTTATTCCTCAACCTACACAAGATGCAACACCTGAAGTATGCAATGAACGTATTCGTGCATGGTTAGGAACTACAGGTATTGTACAGTTTTTTTCTTGTGCCCAAATAAACTAACCATTAAACCTTACAGAAAGAGGTATCTTCACTTCAACATGAAAATATATGTTATTTATTTTAAGATATTAAAATTAACCTTAGATTTATCATGTTATCGAAATTACTTAAACCAAAACATTTTGCTGAACTCATTCAAAGTATCATAAGGCCTATCATTGAGTCAACTGGCGTGGTTTCAATTCCCCGGTTGTACGTGACAAGGAGCAGGGTCGCCTATCCAACCTTGTGGGTTTTCTCCGGGTCCTCCGGTTTCTTCCCACTGCTAAAGACCCCTACGTGCAAGTGAATTATTGAAATAAAATCGAACCATGTATTAGTCCTGAAATTACATAGTTTGGGTCAAGTGGACGCTAAACTCTCTCTCTCTCTCTCTCTCTCTCTCTCTCTCTCTCTTAAAAATAGTTGTTTTAAGATAAGAGCACCCCAAATTAAGTTGTTTACATATTGTATTATCATTTAATATGTATTTCTAGGTGTAATAGAAAATTGGGTTCTTGGTGATAAGGAAGGCGGGAGTGATAACAATGTTAATTCCAACTCCTTACACAGTATATGGCGACAACTCAGTTCTCAGCCAAGATCGGTGTCTTTTCACAATATTGCTCAACTAATTGGTCTGCAACCTACTGATACAAAACCAAATGGAGATGTAGAAGAGACCGATTAAGAATAATTAAAGATGCATTATGTAAGAGCTAAATCTGCCCATAATCTACTTTCTTGGGCCATCGGATGGCTCCGAATTTAAGTAAATTAGAACACCGCTGACATTTAAGACCCTTAACTATAAAATAGAGATAATCGAGACTCAATGTCAAGTACCGTTGCTATGATGATAAACAATCTTTTCGATCTACATTTTGTCACAACTTTAAACACTTATAATTTTGCACCAAATAAACTACTTTGACTGAAATTTTCAATATATTAATTTTTCATTATCTATTTTTGAACTATTACTAAGAATGGTCAGATCTAATTCTTACATAATGCATCTATAAGAGGAAATGACAATATAAAAGAAAAATTAGGAAATATTTATTCCTTGAGTTTTTATACGTCCACATTCATAATGTGAACGTATTATGCCGTCGCCCCTGTCTGTGTGTGTGTGTGTGTGTATGTATGTATGTGTGTGTGTGTGTGTGTGTGTGTGTGTGTGTGTCTGTGGTTCGCCTACAGGGCGCAATTCTTCATGGATTTTCTTCAAACTTGGTATACTTATTCCTTATACCCCAAGGAAGATCCCTATTGTTTTTGGTGCATGCCCGACCCCCCGGGGCAGAGCCACGCCCATTTCTAGTATTTGTTTGTTTGTCGTCTACAGGCCACATTTCTTAACTAATAATCTTGAAACTTTGCATACACATTCTTTGTACCCTAAGGAACATCCCTATCGTTTGGGGTGCATGCCCAACCCCCAGGGGCAGAGCCACGCCCATTTTCTTTTCGTGTGTCTTTGTGTCGCCTACAGGGCGCAATTCTTACTGGATTTTCTTCAAACTTGGTATACTTATTCCTTATACCCCAAGGAAGATCCCTATTGTTTTTGGTGCATGCCCGACCCCCAGGGGCAGAGCCACGCCCATTTCTAGTATTTGTTTGTTTGTCGTCTACAGGCCACATTTCTTAACTTATAATCTTGCATACACATTCTTTGTACCCTAAGGAACATCCCTATCGTTTGGGGTACATGCCCAACCCCCAGGGGCAGAGCCACGCCCATTTCCCATTTTCTTTTCGTGTGTCTTTGTGTCGCCTACAGGGCGCAATTCTTACTGGATTTTCTTCAAACTTGGTATACTTATTCCTTATACCCCAAGGAAGATCCCTATTGTTTTTGGTGCATGCCCGACCCCCAGGGGCAGAGCCACGCCCATTTCTAGTATTTGTTTGTTTGTCGTCTACAGGCCACATTTCTTAACTTATAATCTTGCATACACATTCTTTGTACCCTAAGGAACATCCCTATCGTTTGGGGTACATGCCCAACCCCCAGGGGCAGAGCCACACTTTATATACTTATTCTTTGTACCCTAAGGAACATTTATTAATAAGTTATACTCTAAGGACAGGAACTATTGATGTTGATGCACGACCCTCAACGCTAAACAAACCAAAAGCCTAGCCTTCTTGACAAAGTACCTTGTCAATCAAAGCAGAATTGGAATGTGGACGTATATTGTAGCGTTAGCGTTATGTTTATAGGAAAGCTGTCTATGAAGGAATGTCTTTTAACTGTGTTCATTAGGTAATGAAAAAAAAAACTGCACACAATGTTACCTAAATGATATTGAAGATGATTTTAATTTAATTTAAATTTTGTCTTTGTGATAATGAATTTCAAATTAATTCATTTATTAAGTACAACATCAACAAATGAACTACAGAACTTGTCCATATTTCTCATTTCTGCCGATAGGAAAAGAACCCTTTATTAAATAATAATTAAATTTGTCCTAATCCTGATATTATTAGAATGTTTATATATATATATATGCTCATGTTTTCTAACAGTCATTTTAATATTGGGGGGTTGGATGGTCGAATGGTTAGCACGTGCGCGCTGTATCATAAGACCTGTCATTGAGTCAACTGGCGTGGTTTTGAATCCCCGGTTGTATGTGACAAGGAGTAGGGTCGCCTGTCCAACCTCGTGGGTTTTCTCTGGGTCCTCCGGTTTCCTCCCACTGCTAAAGACCCCTACGCGCAAGCAAATTATTGAAATAAAAAATTAAACCATATGTTAGTCCCGAAATGACCTAGTTTGTGTAGAGTGGACATTAAACCCCATCTCTCTCTCTCTCTCTCTCTCTCTCTTTCATTTTAATATCTCTGTGTCCTATTTAGGCTGTTAATTCAACTCAATTTATTTACACCCCACACCCATTTCATGTATAATACTGCTTGTAACTTTAATGGGTATATATGTTATCTAATGAGTCATGTAGACTTAATGAATTGAATGAATGAAAGATGTTCATCATTAGCTCTATGTCTTTTACTGAGGGGGGTCACGGTGGCTAAGTGGGTAAGACGCTGGCTTGATAGCCTGGAGGTCGGGTGTTCGATCCCTGCATTGACAGAGAAAGTTCATCCAGATTTTCCGGCGTGGTTCCCCCTTGTCAGTGATGCAGGACGGAGGGCCTGGCAAGGACAGCTGTCTAGTCGTTCGGATGGGACAAAAAATCGAGGTCCTGTGAACACATTGGCATGCATGTAAAAGATGTATTTTTCACTCTAAATAAGCCACAGGATTTGTAAGAATTATTTTGCCAAATGAATATAAATATTCTAGCATATTATCAATAAAGATCTGTTGATAATAGTTTTAGAGTAGAAGCAGAATTGGTTGGGTTTTTTTATAATTTAATGTAGTGTAGGCCAGTGGTTCCTAGCATGTTGGGACCCTTTGGGACACTTTACAAACCTCTGAGTACCCCCACATCTGCAATATTACTCTGTTCAGTGAATACTTTACATATATTATTATATCTTTCATAAACCCTAATTCAGAACAGCAGAGTTATTTTATTTCAAAAACTCTGACGGACAGGCGGATACAGGGACAAAAGGACGAAACTATTTTAAATGGTTTAATTGATATTTAGTAATTTAAACTGATAGCAAAATGAGTGACGTTTTTTTCATGAAGACTTGAGAAGTCAAAACGTCACTGAGTAATAAAGAGCAGTGGTGTCCTGTGTTAAATTCCCTGCTTCCTGAGAAATCATGTATAGAGATCTAAGATATAGATGCGATTAGTCGATCAATATGGTTACAAGTTGCACCTTTAGTTATTTTAATAAGGCGCAATGTAGCCCCGTCTCTGTTGAGTATCATAAATTTTCATTCATTCATTTTATTATTATTTTATTGATAATTTGTTGGAGTTTTTTATATGATGTAATAAGGTATATGTTTTATAAATTATGTCTTATTTTGGTTTAAGGGATGAACGTATGTAATTATTGGTCCAATTAACGATAATTAATCTATAGTTTGATACACATGGCTGTGACAAAAGATATGTATACCAAACTGTTATATGATTAATGGGAGCAAATTGATTATCTATTTTTAGATCAGCTTGGGTTTTTTGTATTCTATATTTAGCACTGACCTTAATAACCCGGAAACGGAAATATTCAAACTTATGGAAACACACACTGATCAAGAATATTTTACTTTTGAAAGTTACGGGTACAAAGAAAGGGATGGGAACAATTCAGTTATTTTAATAAGGCGCAATATAGCCCTGTCTCTGTTGACGTGTCATAAAATTTCATTCATTCATTTTATTATTATTTTATTGATAATTTGTTGGTTGTTTTTTTTTTCTTAAATGATGTGATAAACTATATGTTTTATAAATTATGTCTTATTTTGGTTTAAGGGATGAACGTATGTAATTATTGGTCCAATTAACAGTAATTAATACAGTTTGATACACATGGCTGTGACAAGAGATATGTATACCAAACTGTTGCATAATTAATGGGAGCAAATTGATCACCAGGAATCTATTTTTAGATCAGCTTGGGGTTTTTTTTTATGTTATATTTAGCACTGACCTAAATAGACCGGAAACGATAATAATATTAAAACTTATCGAAACACACACTGATCAAGAATATTTTACAAAGAAAGGGAGGGGGACAATTCCAGTACCCACCATACATTTTAAACATTTGATAGAATTGGTTTGAAGTATATAGGTTCTGGGTGACCAAGGCTAAAAATTTATTGGTTTTACTGGTATTTACCTCTTTTTTACTTCGTAGTGAAATGAAATGAAATGGGGTTTAACGTCCTACTGTTTTGCCCCGAACTGTGCTAATGAAAACAGGCATACGCTATACAGTGTGCTATGAGGGAAATTTTGCCAGACAGCGGCACTACGACCTACTCTTATATCGAGTTACAACTGTCTAGGGATCTTTTACGTGCATGCTAATGGGTACAAGTGACCTTGGTTTTCCGTCCCATCCTAACGACTAGGCCCTCCATCCTGCATCACTGACAAGGAAGAACCACGTCGGAAAATCTGGATGAACACCCAATCTACAGACTTAAGGGTCGTACCCACTTAGCCACGGTGCACCCTTACTATAGAAGGATACCGTTGCCAATATTATTTCAAAGTTCACTGTACAAACTGTATTATGTCAGCAGTTCAAAATACGTATTTTAGTTTTACAATTTGCAATTTCCATTGCTCCGCAATACCATTGTCACAATGTTAAAATACAGAATACATTTTTCATTAATACAAAATACAGTATAGTAGTTATTTTGCACATTACACTTCTCCATTCTGCATTATAGACAAATGCATAATAGAACTTCGGATATTAGAACATATTTATACCTTATAATATGGGATCAACGACGAAGCTCATTTCATACGGAAAAAAGTCCGGACTATGACGGAAATTAATTATTTACGCGATCAATCTACAAGGCCAATCTGTTTCACAGTGGATTACGAAAGTCAGGGATGTGCCTACTATTACAATTACCGGGCGGCACCGCCCAGCACCAATATTGTCCGCCCGGCAAAAATATCTTGAATGACTTGAATTTGAAACAGATTTCCGCCCACCTTCATTTTCTTGTAAATAAAGATAATCTAAATTGGTACAAGCGTTTCTATTTGTTGCCTTTAACCTCATAAATTGAATAAATTATTTTGACTCGCGTCAAACTGACCTCGTATCATAGTAGACATCTAAAATATACGTTTTCGAGAAAATATATGGACACAGATCACCAAATATTCCTACGCCGTCACCCACGAAACAAGGGCCAAAGCTATTTTTAGTCTTCCTCTCCCTTTTCCTTTTTCCCCCTTTTGCATGGCAATTTTTGTTGACTTTTTGGTGTAGAATTGAGGAAAAGGGTTTGAAAATACATTTTCTGCCAGGTTTTGGTGAATATTCATAATTTTGATGCGGAAGGATACAAGAGTTGAGAGGTTGGTTACGTTGAAATGTAGGGCCTGAAATTGCATGTTTATTTGTCTCTACTTCCAGCTTGTGTATCTCAAGTTTTTCATGAAGAACCTCATACGTGCTTTTGGGCAAGTGGTTGCCACATGTTGCTCCATCTGTGGTAGAAAGCGTTCTACCCAACGAAAATTTGGGAAAAAGTTAGAGCCGGTCTAAGATACGAGAATTAACATTGGAGTCAATGGGGAATCTTTAGTGATCTGTGTCCATATTACTTTCGATATCTTATTTGACGCGCAGAGTTATCTGATATTTAGACTCTTTTAACTGGTCACATTAGTACGACGTAACTATCATGACTGGTTAAACTAGACTACGGCACCGTTATTGTTTAAAAATAGCACTAGCAGACGATTATTTTTGTTATTTTAATTATTTTTATCATGTCCCTTTTGAACTATTTTCGCCGGGAATCTAAGGATAAGCCCCAAGAAACATATTCGGTGGGTGCTGATAGTGACTGGCAATCTACCAATCATAATGATGGATCCAGTGGCAAACGAAAATCGGATTCCTTAATTAGGCCTACCACATCTGACCAGGCTTCTTGTCAGCCAAGTACTAGTAGTAGAAGTCGGCCCGACGTGGAGTGTCTACTAGACGAACAAGATACATCTTCCAAAAAAATAAAGTCAAAACATGCTCTCTCGTTTAACCCCAAATGGAAACTTAACCGTCCTGGTTGAAATTTTCTCCCGGACTCGGCATGTTTTGTCAACTCTGCCAAGATTTTAATAATGCTCACCCCGACAGTCGGCGGGATATCTGGATTATTACTCCATGTTACAAACGGATAAGATTAGAAAGTATAAATGACCATGAATCATGTATATGTTACCCATCAAGATTCGTTAAAGTGCAGTATAGAAGTTTCACAACAATCCGATATAAGTGTTGCCATAGTCCCAATAATATGTAAAAATTATTTAACCAAAACATTTGCATGTCTGTATTTTTTGTGCCGACAACGGATAGCCCATACCACTAATTTTGAGCCTCTACTCGATTTTGTAGGATATCTTGGTGATAATTTGAAGGAGAATATATTGGTCGGTAGAAACGCGTGTTATACTAGTAGGAAATCAATTCAAGAAATCCTATATACCATGTCAAGCATTATAGAATCAGACATTTTAAATGATATTCGCAAAAGTTCACATTTTTCTTTAATGTTTGATGAGACGACAGACTGCTCTCTCAAAGAGCAGATGACGCTACGTTCGCGTTATATACAGGATAATGGTTTAGTTCAAGTTCGATTTTTGAAAATGATTGACTGTCTTCCCACACACGAAACTCGAACAACACTTGACGCCACCACTATTTCAAACCATGTGATCAATTATATTATTGAAAATGATTTGGAAATTAGCAAACTAAGAGGACTTGGCACTGATGGGGCATCAGTAATCACTGGGCGAGTCAATGGGGTCGTTAAGAAAATTCAAACTCGACAGCTAGATGCCCAACCAGACAATTCCCCAAAATGTGAAGCGATTGGATGTCACTGCGCGGCACACAAACTAAATCTTGCCTCGGAACAGGCTGCAAATGTTGATCCCTACCTTAAAAAGTTTTAAGACATGCTTAGACAATTATATGACTTCTATATGACAATAGTGCCGTTAGGTCAGCAGGTCTTCTTTCCGTACAGAAAATGCTCCACGAATCCGAGTTGAAAGTATTGCAGCCTTCATCAACTCGTTGGTTAAGCATGGGAAACTGTGTTCAACGCCTACATAAAATATTAGTCAGTGTATTATGTAGCTTAGAACGCGAGGCCGAGGAGCGGGGAAACGCAACGGCGGCTGGTCTTGCATTATTCCTAAGTAATTATCGCTTTATTTTCACATTACTTCTTCTTTGTGATGTCCTACCTGTTGTTAATATTCTATCAAAATCATTTCAAGCTACCGACGTTGATTTCCCAACTGTTACAAGGGTCAAACAAACGGTGATTAAGGAGTTGGAAAAGTTAAAAACTGCCGATGGTGATTATCTAAAGCAAATTGACGGTTACATCGAAAATCTGCGAAAGGCCGATATAACCATCAGAAGTCAAAATGTTTTAAGAAAGGATAGTGAGATTTGTTCAGGTGAAACCCCAAAATCATCCCTTGAAAAATCCATGAAGGTCCCATTTCTTGAAACACTTATACAAAATATTAATGACCGATTTGTGGACAGTCCTGTCATGGAATCGTTTTCAATCTTTAAACCAAACTACCATCAAGGTTCTGATGATTACGCGCTTCTTTGTCAGAGATTTGGCTGTGTCCACTCTGTGTCAGAATGGTCGGTATTTAAGTTTTACGCCCGAGACCACCTGGGCACAAAGATTACCAGTGAGGTTGTTGAGGCTTTATGTACAGATCCCGATTTATCATGAACTTTCCCCACGGTATCGTTTTTACCCAAGTGTTTTAAGGTCCTCCCTCCACACACTGCAGACTGTGAAAGAGATTTTTCTCAGATGAAAACCATAATCCACACACTGCAGACTGTGAAAGAGATTTTTCTCAGATGAAAATCATAAAAACAGTCTTCGCAATAGACTGACAGAATCATCTTTAGATGCCATTCTTCGCCTTGTAATCGAAGGCCCCCCCCGTCGATAAATTTCCATTCAACAGAGCCGTGGAACATTGGGCAAAGAAAAAGAACAGAAGATTGAAAGTATAGACAATTGATTTCAAAATAAAACATAGGCCTAAATGCTTAAAATAATGCTCGTTTTGCTTCATATTTTTAATGGAATATAATTAATAAATGGTCTTTAAAATATCAATCTGCTGATTCAGACGAGCATGTCTGTCATCTATCCATCAAGTGTACTCATCATAATGTTTTCATTTGGAAGAGTTTGGCTAGTAAACAAGGAAAATCCCCCTGGCAGGGCGCGCCATTTTGTACGGTGACCAAAAAGATGTTCAGAAATAAAACTGGGTTTTCATATTTCATCCTGGTGAAGCTCTGTAACATTTATTTATAGTAGGGATTCTCTCAACGAAAAATACGCAAATCAATTTCCATTATTATAAATTACCGGAGATTTCATAAAACGTTGATTTATAACAAAACGTCAACAGGGGTCAAAATTCGTGAAATTGAAACGAAGGCATTTTTGTCAAAAATTGAGACAGTAATTCCTTCGTCACAACGGCAGTTTTTATGTACACTAAAGCAAAACTTTTATTTTACTTTCGCCACTAAAGCATGTTTTAAACTGAGAAATTTGATTGATAAAGATTATGAATAATAAATAAACTATAAGCACAGCGTTAAGTTTTCATTTATAATACTGCATTGGCCGAGAAAGTGCATCCAGATTTTGCGTTTTAAATGAATACTTCGCCGTTGCGGTATTGATTTCCGATTATAAAATATCCGTAATGCCGTAATTTGATTATCAAAAGACGATTGCACACGTATGCATGACATAGTATCATGAACCTCGTGCAGCGGACCTGTAACGCCCCCTGGAATTCCTTTCTCACGTCCCGTCTATATTTACGCTAAAAATTATATTATATAACATATTTTCCCGACCTAATTATTTGATTTGGTCATATTTTCCAGTATATTATTCACAGCCGTTATTTCTGGAAATTGTTTTGAACTTTTTAAATGATTAAATAAACCAGACGAAGCCGTGTGCACCTCCAAGTCTAAGCAACGTGACGTTACGGTAGAATTAGGTCAGATGACTTGCAGTCACGAGAACTCAGGAAAGAAACAAAACAATAAATTCCTATCTTCGATTATGCCGTAGACTACGCAGGTATACAACGGCGGTTTCAATGTTAACATCGGCAAATTGTCGTCGTCATATTCTTTAGTAAATTACCACGGCTAAAGATACCGTAGTTCTTATTTATTTTCTACGGCAATTTCGCTAAATACTACGGCTCCGTCATGAATTAACAGCTGGGAGTCATTCATGAAATTGCGCATATCGATCGGAAAAAAACGACAAATTTCTGCCGAAGATTACCGCCCGGCATGATGATTTTTCTGGGTACATCCCTGGAAAGTCTTCTAATCTGTAAAAGATGACTGACTACCTTTAACACGTGACGTCTCTTATCACGCGGTGCCACTCATTGGCTCAATGGCGCGTGCATTGTTTTCATAAGACGTTCTAGTTCAGGCAGAATGGAAACTTTTACTCATTTTAATACCCATTTGCACTAAATAGGAAATAATTTTTACCTACTAATACGTCAAACGCATTTATTTATTTTTCTAATACATAAAAAAAATATTTTAGAATTTAATTTGTCGCAGGAAAAAAGTTAATATTTCTGGCTCATTAAGTCGCATCGATGTCATCCTTATCAGTGATTGTAGCGGCCTAGCGAAAATTCACTGCTGATCAGTGTGCTACAAGGTCAATAGGCAGAGATCAAGCTGGCATACAATAACTCACCATACAATAAGTCGGCTTACCATGCAATAACGGTGAAATGAAATGAAATGAAATGGGGTTTAACGTCCTACTGTTCTGCTCAATAACGGTGAATCAAACGAGCCACACTGATCAGCAGTGGGGGATCACGTGGCTAAGTGGGTAAGACGCTAGCTCGCTAGCCTGGAGGACGGGTGTTCGATCCCTGCATTGGCCGAGAAAGTTCATCCAGATTTTCCGGCGTGGTTCTCCCTTGTCAGTGATGCAGGACGGAGGGGCTGACAAGCAAAGCTGTCTAGTCGTTCGGATGGGACGAAACACCGAGGTCCCGTGGGCGCTATTGCACTTTCGTACCTCTACCAGTTCCCGTGGTCGTAGGAACTTGAAATTTTCAGAGGATGTTCAGGGGGACTAGCAATGACCACACACCAAATTTCAGCCGAATTGATCAATAACTTTTTATTTTACCGACCTTTTAATTTCTAACGAGAGAGAGCTTCATCCGTTTGACGCCATTTGCTTTGTTTACTATTTAGACTCGAATAACAAGACACTCAGACGGAAACAGACACACTGCACTAGCTGCCTAACACTGCAGTTCATAAAAATTAATATAATTTTCGTATACTTTAATTTTTGCGCGAAGCCACCATTTTCTATAAAATACTATTTGGTGTTGATCAGTGGATTGGCCTTTAGGTGTGAATATTGCCGTGACCTTGATTTTGACCTGGAGTCCAAACTTCCCATCCATATCGGGGCCTTTGCGTTTATGCTTGCCGTGGCCTTATTTCT